GATTTATGTGGTTCTTCATCCATATGCAGGTGTTTGTCATAGTTTATAGGTTTATCGAAAGCAAATATATATGATACTTTTGGTGAACATTCTATAACTACAATTGTGAATTGGAACAATACGTAGAGAGTTAATTATATCATTGTACCTAAGGACTATGCATGGCTAATATCAATTGATATCAGAATATAGTTTTATTATATATTGGCTGGTTTCAGATTAAATCTTTTAACGCATTGCAAATTTTGGTGTCGCATGCATCAACTGGGATATTAGAATTTTTTATTTGCTTCAAAACTTTCTCAATCATTTCTTAGGATTGATAAAGAAAATACTGTTGTTTAATGGATCAAGATATTGGACCACCCTTCTTGCTTTTGCACTATTGTTTCATTAAAGAGCGACCTCAAATAGAAGGAAGGCAAGAGGAGACCACCACTATCCGACGACCCACTCAACTAAATTCAGTCACACTTATCATAAAAATTTACGAGGTCGTAGTATATTATATTTTAGTCTCTTTCATCATTTTCTTTTTTTCTTGTTCTTTTCATATTTTCGATCCTTATAGATGACATAGTCCTCGCCATTGACTCAGTGAATCTTCTATGAATTGAAAGTCACGCTACAAATAATGTTGTATCAGGATCGGACACTGTTCAGTGTTTACTAGTCACGTTACAATTTCCGAAAGAAGGTTACGCTGTATGTTGTGGTTGTTCTGTTATTCCATGTTTTCATTGAGGAAAGTGGGAAATAGACGGAAATAAGTAATTTTTTTTTTTTTTGATAAACCTTATCGGCTATCCGGTCGGCCCCTGGTAGGAACGCACCGAGGTGCTACATAGTGGACTGGTCCACCGTGTTAACGGTTAGGCCCTTACGGGCTACCACTCTGCCTATCCCGAGTTTAGAATGCCTTCCGACTAAGTGTCAGGGGTAGTCAGAAAATAAGTAAATATTAAAATACTGTAATGCAACCGAGTTAACCAAGTAAACTAAAACATGTCCACGTGAAATTAGAATAATTGGCTCTAAGTAGGACCGGCAGAGAAAACCAACAAAAGGCTAAATCATGTCAAGCGAATAGTCTTCGCCGAGATTATCATCTTCTTATCGATCCGTGATTATCTTCTTCTTTGGCTGATTCTCTAAAATATCTTAAACTCTCTCTTGGAAGATTCAACCTCTCTATTCTATATAAATGCATCAACGCCAGTCATATTGATAAGTAAAGAGGATTAATAAGATGAAATCTTCTATAGTCACTTCCATTCTTCTCTTTCTCCTTCTTCTCGTGTTTCCACATATGAATGAAGCCCTTGGTGCACAAATTGAACTCGGCAAACTTGGTGAGTCTTTTCTATCTTTAAATATTCGTATAAGCCATTACTATTTTACTTTTTGTTAGTTTGCTGTTTAGGTTAGGGATTTTTAATCTTTATTTTAGTTCGCGTTTTCCGCAATAAAACATAATCACAGACATAAAATTGAATCTAATATTTGACCTATTTGATACAACTTCAAAATTTCGATTGATTTCAGCTCATGTTCAGTATTCAATCAAATTAACCTCTATTTTTTTTTTATCCCTTTTTACTCAAAATGCAAAAGTGAAGTTTAGTTTTGGGTATAATTTTTTTCCATTTCATCATTTTTCTTCGATGTGAAAATAATAAAACAATTTTAAATTTATTACTACAACCCAATTTGGTTTTCAATTCGTTTTTTATCCGGAATGAATAGACAAATCATCACTAAAATTCCCAAACCTTGACACTGTAATATAAATGTTAAATGTGTTTGGGTGATGCAGGTGCAGAAAAGACAAACCCTCCTGATCAAGTGATAATGGTCCAAAGGATTCCACAGATTTCAATTCCGCGACGGCTTTTAGCGAGTCGGTGCAAAATTTACATCCGATGTAAGCCTCCGCTTCCAAGCTCTTTGGATGGCAAACACGGACTTGGTCACTGATCTCACTATAGCTTAATGCGTCTATATAAATATGCACGTTTTTTACTTTGTGGTTTGGTTTGTGATTCTGTCGTTCTTCATCCATGTGCAGGTGTTTGTCATAGTTTACATATTAATCGAATGCAAATAAATATAGCACAGTTTCTGGTGCACTTTCTATAACTATATTAATGAACTGGAACCGTACGTAGAGAGTTATAACATTGTATCCAAGGACAATGCATGGATAATCTCAATTGATTTGCAGACATGGAACAGTTATAATGCGTAACCTGTGTCACAAATATCCGAAAAAAAAAAAAAAAACTGATCGGACCAATATTTTATATTTTTATTCCCAAGTGAAAAAGGTGAGGCAAGCTTACCCGAGACTGAGTGAACTCATCAACTAGATGTAAACATGAGTTTTGTGAGACAAAAATTTATTTTGTTCATTATTGTATTCCTTTTACGTATACATGTTATAATAATGTGTTTACTTTCAAATGAAAGCATAATCTTTAGTGTCTTAGTTATATAGTATATACATCTTATAAACACAGGTATTTTAGCACTGGGGTGTCAAGAAAGTGGGACAAAAGGCTTTTGTACCTTTTTTTGTGTGTATTTAACAAGAACAACCTTTATGACAAAAATAAAAATACAAAAAAAGATTAATTTAGTTTGAGTTTGTAAAAAAATATTTTAGAAAATCCATAAGTACATGCAAATGCAAACACAGATTAAATATTCTTTTAGACAAAAAAGTTTTATGAAAAGTATATGACAAATATTAAGAAAGATTAATATGCATGGCCAAGTCAGGGTAGTAACATAAATAAATTATATAGCGTTTAGTAATTATATAAATTTAAAAATATTGAAATGTAATTAAATTTTTTGGTAATGCAATAACAAGAAAAAATATATAATGTATATTCAATCGAAACGAAGTTTTTCCACGAAGATAATAAGAATATAGCGTCGTTATCTCTAGAGACAGTGCCAACCTTGAGCAGAAGCCAAAAATATTGGGATTTTTCTATGGAATTTTCAACGTTCATCATATAGTTTCACTCCTTTTTATAGATGGTGTGTTCAGGTCTTGGTCTTTTGTTTCTATCTTACAATTATTAACGTATCTTATCATTTTAAACGTCTGAATATTCTTCCCTCACATTGTTTCTTAACGTATCTTATCATTAAGTGTGCTTTTTTTTTTCTTTTGAAATATATTAATTTAGAAAGGTAATTGTCCAGTGTCACATTGTTTCTCCAAAGCTAGAATTTTCTCCACAGTGAGCTTCAAATCTCGACCATATGTTTCCCACTCTTCTCTAAGTTATCTTATCTCTACCTCTCTATTCTATATAAACATAAACGTGAGTTACAGTGATTACATAGAGATAAGAGAGATTTAATAAGTAACACATATATAGGATTATTAAGATGACGTCTTCGACATTCTATTCCATGATATTTCTTGTTCTCCTCGTGTTTTCGCTTCGTATAGATGAAGCTCTTGGTGCTCAAACTGAAATCCGCAAACTCAGTGAAATTTACTATGAATTATTAATAAACATCTGATATTTATTCGCAATTAGAATTGATTTTACTTATATAGACCTTTCACTATTTTAAATATATGTATATAATAATTTTAATCTATTTAAATATTAATTTTACCTTAATTATACAGCAATTTCATTTTTAAATAATTTATGTTTATGCCAAGTTCAAATTATATGAAAATATTATGTGTATGGTGCGGCTAAGACCTATTAATATGTAACCCATTATATTATACATGACATATAAGAAAGTTGGTGGAGATAAATAATGCAACCCCATGAACCAATAGGGGAAAATAATAATAACGATGATGCAACTTATTTATATTTGACTTGGTAAACGGAAGACCAGAGACTACTACCATCCGAACACACGCAAACTATGTCGTCTTTAGCTTCAAATCTTTTCTGTAGTATACGCATTCGAAATCATAATTATCAAGACGCGTCGTCTATTGTCTTATACATAATTTTATTTGTTAGAGATATTCAAAAATATTGAATTGTAACTTGAATTCTTAATATTTTGGTAACTAAATAACAACATATATATATATTCCTAAAATGGTATTAAAAAATGTAAGTAAACCAAGTTTTATAACATTTTCTTTTATGACATATGTAGCGAGTGTAAATTGTATAAAATATAAAATAAATTGTTATGTGGCCTAAGCAAGGATGGTAGATACTTCACTTAAAGATGATCTGCGCAATTCTTCTTTCTTCGTTTGAGATACTCAAACAGATTCACACTCTGAAAATATTACTAAATCACTTCAAAATGAATAGGTCAATAGAAACGAATTGTTTCCGTGAAGATAATAACAATAGCATCGTTTTCTCTAGTAGGGACAGTGGCAGCCTTGAGCCAATGCCAAACATATTGGAATTTTTCTATGGAAAATTCACTACTTTGTAGATTTATGGCAGTATGTTAATTAAAGTCTTGGTCTTTTGTATCTATCTTACTATTATTAACGTATCGTATCATTTTGAACGTCTCTCTATTTTTCTTTTCCTATATTGTTTTGTTTCTTAGTGTCACTTTCTTTAACTTTTCTTCTGAAACTATTTAACAATTTGTAAAAAGCTAGAATTTGTTTTACTTTTTGTTTTTGTTTGTTAAAGGAATTTGTTTACTTTCCTAATAATAAATTTCCCATTTTCGTTATTTTAAGTATGTTTTGTTATATAAAGTTTTATTTTCTTTTGACCGAGTATACTGACCGGCGTATAACAATGGAATGAAATCCACTTGACCGAGTCTTAATGAAACATAGTGTGTAGTGCGAAGACCACTAAAACCCAAAACCCACGACAAACTAAGTCGTCCATAGTTTCAGCTCTCTCTTTCTTACCTCAACCATATCTTCTTCTGTTTTTGTTTTTTGGTGTGGCTTAAGTCTCTACCATATGTTTCAACTCTCTCTTATCTCTATATTCTATATAAATACATAAACGTGAGTCACAGTGATTACGCAGAGATAGTTGATTGGGTCAGCTACAGTTATTATATCAGATTCAGTCCCATGCAAAGAGTAAATTAGGTCACATTTGTGATTAGTCATATATAAGTAATTAACAAAAAGAATTATTAAAATGGCATCTTCGACATTCTCTTCCATGCTATTCCTTCTCCTCCTCCTGTTTTCGTTTCATATGGGTGAAGCTCTTGGTGCTCAAACTGAAATCCGCAAAATCAGTGAGACATTTTTTTATTTTTTTTAATCTTTCACGTACCAATATTCATTTTTTTTTTGGTAGGGAATATTCATATTTGATATTTATTCTATTAGTTGAGTCTTTCTACATATATATTATTGGGGAAAATCACATTTTTAACCTTCAAAGTATTATTGGGTAGCACTTTAAACCTCGAAACAATTCTACTAACACTATAAAAAACCACCAAAATTGTTTTATTAACACTTTAAACCTCCAAACTAACTTTTCTGTTTGCAAAGCCATAAAAGATGATGGAACAATCAATTTATGTTTGTTTAATATATATTTATTTAATTTAATTTAAATTTTTATTAATTTAATTATTTATTACAATTAATAAAAATCTATAAAAACAAAAAAAAACTTTATTTTCTTCGTTTACTCACTGTCCGACCATGAAATTTCTTGATAAATTGTTGAAACAATCTTTTAAACTGATCCATAAACGTTTTCACTCTCTCTACTGGATAAATTGGAATCTTATAATACCAATTGAATAAAATGATGGTGAACACATATAATAAAATGAATAAAAATCTGAAAATTGTGGTCGGACGGTGAATAATCGAAGATGATGATTTTTTTGTTTTTACTTTTTTTTTTTAATTTATCGTCAAAATCATAATAAATAATAAATTAATTAAAATTTAAATTAAATTAAATACATATACATATATTAAACAAACATAAATTGATTGTTTTATCATCTTTTATGGTTTTGCAAACAGAAAAACTAGTTTGGAGGTTTAAAGTGTTAGTAAAACAATTTGGTGGTTTATAGTGTTAGTAGAATTCTTTCGAGGTTTAAAGTGCTACCCAGTTACACTTTAAGGGTTAAAAATATGATTTACCCTATATTATTTTTAACTATAAAAATCATATTCATTCTAATCATATCTTTACCAAATAAATAAAAAAAATGTATTTATTATGGTATATAACCGTATAAGTATCTACGATTCTACGTTATTATTGCATTCCGATTTAGTGAAATATTAGGATGAGGAGGAATTTGGAAGGTAAAAATCATATTCATTCTAATTCTAGTCATTCTGTTAATTACTATTTCTCTTCATTCATTCTAATTAATTATTACCAAACTCGTGACTAGTCTTAAATTGAAGTCTGAATTGTCTGGGTGATATGATGCAGAAGAGACAATTAGGATGAGGAGGAATTTGGAAGGCAATGACTACAAAAACTCTAAAATGTGGATGAGACGGAGCTATTCACCACAGTGCCAACAATATGAAAGGTTTAAAAACATGGTGACCACTAATGGATTGGACGACCCCTGTTTCCCCTTCACCTGTTTTAATGGCTGGGGCCCCGGCAGTCAAAGTTGCACCTACACCAAATACTGCCGATCAGTTTATGGCGCACCCCCGAGGTGCAGCATCAACGAGGACTGTTCCTCAGCTTAATAGATTTATCATCTATTGGGTGCAAAATTAATACAAATATATACACAACGCTGTTTCAAATGTGTTCCGTATTCTACTTTTATTGTCTTTCTCTATTCTCATCTTCTTGATCAAATTGTAATCTCCAAATGATATGTGTATGGAACAGTTGTATAACCTTTGTGAGTTGGAACAATATGTACAATGTTAGCTAGCTATAACACTTTCTATCTATGGACCAAACATGGCCAATTCTCGATCGATAAAACAATGTTAATTTTCTAGTATTGTTTTCTCGATATGAAATATGTGTAGTGTATTGATACATGGAAGTTTATATAACTTTGGCGTGACATATGCTGCATTATTGGAATGCTTAACTATTTACTCTTAAGATAAAGAGAAGCTCGATATCGATGCATCTGTTTGGCTAAAGCTTATGAAACTATTCCACGTACAAAAAACAAAGAATGAATCCCTTTCGAGGGGTTTGAGGAAGACATATGATAAACAGTGTTAAGTCCCCATGTGATCGAGTAAACTAAAACATGGCGACCGGAGTCCGGAGACCACTCAAAACTAAAAGACTAAAAGACATTGCCATGCTTGAGCATGAAGCCAAAAATATAGGGATTTTCTATGAAATTTCGCACGTTCATATGGTTCACTCTTTTTTATTGATGGCTGGGTGTTCAGGTCTTGGTCTTTTGTCTCTATCTTACAATTATTAATATATCTTATCATTTTGAACGTCTGACTATTCTTCTCTCACATTGTTTCTTAGTGTCACTTTTTTTTTCCTTTTGAAATATATTTTAATTTGTAAAAGCTATAACCTTTTTTATTCCCCAATAACTTTTCCATTTTCATCAATTTATTTTGTTATATAAAAAGTTTGTCAATACTTCATAGATTGCTTTCAAAACTTTTATTTTTACAACAACAAAAATTGATAAAGAAAATCTGGAAGATCGCATTGATATTTAATTTTGTACCAAAATAATTTAATCAATCGGTTTAAAATTTACATCATTAGATATGTTATATATACGTTGAAACTCATATAAAATGAAAAATACTACGTATACATTTATACATTTTTAAACCTTGTAGAAATCCCTCTCCTTAAAGACTGATCTCTTTATTGAAATAAAAAGAAACACCAATCTAATTGTGATTTTTTTTTGTACAATAGCTCTCAAGTCAAGTGTCAACTCCTTTATTTTGTTATTTAAAAAATAAAACCTTTCCATGGAAAAAGGATTGTACACATGTACTAAAGCTACCCTTCGTAAATATGGAATGAAATCCACTTGATCGGAGTGTACGTAAACATGGTGTGCGGAGACCATAACTCAAAACCCACAAGTGACAAACTAAGTCCTCATCTCGACCACCTCTCTATTCTATATAAATGCATAAGTCGGATTCAGACACATATGCAAAGTAAATTAGACTCAAATTTGTGATAAGTGATCATTAAGTAACAGAGTGAATTATTAAGATGGCATCTTCGACATTCTATTCCATGCTATTTCTTCTTGTCCTCGTGTTTTCGTTTCATGTGGATGAAGCTCTTGGTGCTCAAACTAAAAGCCGCAAACTCAGTAAGATTTTTTTTCTTAAATATCTTTTACATATTAATATTCATGTTGAATAGTAAAAGATATGTTGGTAATATTAAGTGATTTGACCCAATTACATATTTTCACATAGTTTTCTTAGTTTATTTATTCTATTATTTGAGAACATCATAAATTTCTTCATCTCTTTTTCATATATTTCTATTACAATAAAGAAAAATTATCTTTAAAAAAATAATTATCTTTAGAGAATATAATAAATATCTACCTTATTTTTAAAATTCGGATTTGGTGAAATATGCTTTAATGTTACTTACTATTTAGCTTAATTAATTAGTTCAATATTATATACATATATACATTAGTAATATATCTTCAAAACTACTTGCTTGACTTATAAATTGAAGTCTGAATTGTATGGGTACGTGATGCAGAAGAGATGCGGAGGAATTTGGAAGGAAATATTGACTACAGAAGCTCTAAAAGGCAGACTGGAGGGAGTGTATCGACTCAATGCCACAGCAAAAGTTATATCGAGATCGTCACCACTTATCTTCCTGATAATTCGTCCTCCCCCTGTATAAAGTGTAACCACGACTCTTGTTATAGCTGCACGAAGACCACAAGCTGCAGATCGTCCACTGGCTCACCCCGGAGGTGCACCGTCAACGAGGTGTGTTGCCTTATAGTGTATTCATAGCTATAGATTTATCGGAGGCAAAATCAATACATATGGATATGTATATGATAATCTGTTGAACATTTCTATATAAGTGAGTTGGAATAATATGTATACTATTGCTTTATCAAAAAACAAAAACAAAAACAATATGTATAACGTTATAACACTTTTTATCGATGACAATGTCCAATCTTGATAACAAGGTGAGTCTAGCTATATATAGGCTTGATCTTCGGATCTTGGAGACCAAATCAAAGCACAAGACTTAGAACTTGAGAAACGTACCTTTGAAGAAAATCTATGACTCAGTTGTTTCTGTAAATGAGGAATGTGATGCAAAAAAATTAAAGGCTATTTTTAGGCAGAGCAGTTAAATGAAAATCAGTTTCATGTAGTTTAATTTTTCACTATAGTCCTGTTACCCAGAAGATGAAGTTTTGTGGCCCCATATTTGGATTCTGCCACTTTTGCACAAAATTTTAATTCTATAATTTTTGCATCAAAATCTAATTTTGCAATGTGGCAGAAAATCTCGATTGTTAGTTTCAACTTTTAAACCGATTGATAGTTAACTTTGTAGACTAGCACCTTATGCAACTTTCACAGTTTCACGATTGTTAGTTTCAACTTTTAAACTACTATTTTTCAATCGAAAAAATTTGTATATGGCAGAAAATTCCCCATCTCTCTCTCTCGAAAGACTAATCTCCTTTTTTTTTTTTTTTTTTTTTAAATCATCTAAAGACCTATATATCTCTTTATTGAAATAAAACAAACACGAATATGTTTATATTTATACGTTTATTCTAAAGTCAATGTCAACTCCTTTATTTTGTTTTTCTGTTTTGTTCAATTTTTTATTTTTAATTAAAAAAAACATGGAAAAAGGAATGAATGTATACAAAGCTGCCCCAGGAAAATAATGCAATGAATTAAAACCACTTGACAGAGTATAATAAAACATGGTGTGCAGTGCAGAGACCACTAAATCCCAAGATCCACATGCAAGTGACAAACTTAGTCATTTCTCTCTTTCTTATCTCTACCATAAGTTTAAACTCTCTCTTATCTCTAACTCTATATTCCATATAAACGCAATAAACGTGAGTAACAGACTAACAGTCATTAAGTTTGATTAGCTCAGATTCAGTTCATGTAACGTCCTAAATTAGGTCAGATTCAGTGATTAGTGATAAGTACTAAGATGCTGTCGTCGTCTACAGTTTCTTTCATGCTATGTTTTCTTCTCCTTGTGTTATCGATTCATATGAATGAAGCTCTTGGTGCTCAAATTGAAATCCGCAAACTCGGTGAGTTTTTTTTCAAAAATCTTTTACTTGTCGATACATTCATATGTTTAATTAGGAGTAAAAGATAGTATGTTGATAATATGTTAGACAAAACAAAAAAAAGAAAGAAAAAAGAAAGAAAGATATGTTGATAATATTAATAGATTTGATCCAATTACATGTTTTCACATAGTTTTATTTTACATATATTATTTATGAAAATCATATCTTTCTACATCTATTTAAAAAACAACAAATCATATTAATTTTACTAGCAGTTTATGTAGATTAATAGAGAACATTATTTATTAAGAATATAAAAGTATCTTTGTTATTTTAAAATTAGGATCAACTAATTTTAATTAGTTCAGCATATAGCTTTGTAATTAGTTCAGCATATAGATCAACTAAAGGTTACATATCATTGAAATTTCCAATGGCTTGAGGCTATAAATTAAAGTGTTCAAGTAATGCAGAAGAGACGATGGTGATGAGGTGGAGCTTGGAAGGCAATGGCTTCGTAACTTCCAAAATAGATGCTCCACCAAGCGCATCGAGACATTGCGGGGGAGGTAAACGTTTTAAGAACATGGCGACCACTGATCGTCATGATGATCAGTTCAGTCCACTTCCAGGAGGCGACTCGTCCTCCCTCTGTATAAGGTGCGTTACCACCCAACGTTGTGTAGGGGCCGTAGGCGCGCCACCATCGACGTACACGTGCACTATCATCTCGAAACAGTGTGAAAACATACCTGGCCATTGATCAGGTTATAACTTTGAATGCACATCTGTCAATATATGAATGTATGTACTAATTAAAGTCGTAGTTAGTTTGCTTTATAGATTTATTCAATGTAAAATTAATACATGTATATATATGATACATATACTATTATCTGTTGAACATGGTGAGTAGGAACAATATTTATATTTTACTGAAACAGGTTTTAGCCTGGAACATATACATGGCCAATTTCTCTGTGGTTTTAAGGCTAATGTTAAACACAGAGAAACTCTTGAGGTGCTTACACAAATGGTATTGAGAGATTGCGTACGGAACGTGATTACTCATTACAATATATGTTGTAGTCGGTTTGGCAATGCCATGTGATCAACAGATCAAGGGCAATAGTTGTTTAAACTGGTTCCACAAATTTTGAAAATTTCAGACTATGTGCAAACATAGAAAGTGAGAAACTATAACGCATTGAGTAAGAAACAATATTACACAGAGTGTAATAAATAATTCGGATTGTAGGTAGTATCAGGCGTCTTAGAGAAATATATGAAAATGAGTAAAAAGAAGCATAATTTATTTAATAATCCATTGTGAGATCTGACTTATAAGCCTGATCAGTTACAAATTATTAATAAATTCAAATAGGAATTAAGAGGTAAACATTAGTTACCTCCTACATAAATCCTAAAGCAGAAGCGATGGCAATTCCTGTCTGAACTATCATTACGAAACAATATACGATCGTCATGAAGAATCCCCACATCTTCACGATACTTATGAAATCAGCTTCAACTAAAAATTATGACAAATTTGCTTTTTCTAGTTTTGGTGAGGAGATATGGCTGCATGGGTGATCAATTTATAGTTGAACCATGGGAACCTTGAACCGTGGATAAATGATAATATCAGACTGTTCAAATTCTTTATCTTCTCGTAAGTCGGAAATTAATAATGAGCAGTCAAATTTAAAGATTAAAGATTTGGAATTTGGAACGTTTTTGTCATAAATGTGCGTACTGCGTAGAACCAATTTGGACTTAAACTCATGGAGTGTTGTATAAGACCTTATTGTTGTGGCTCAATCATTCATATGTAGTGAAATATACAATTTAATTATTTTTTTACTAACTCGTCTATTTAAAAAAAATATGAGTACTCTACTTGCCGTATAAATTTGGTCCGTATAAAAGAAGAAGACGTCACTAAAGAAACTGAATGAAATGACATTGAGGAAACATAATTTGTCGTGTTGGAACCTTCCATGACTCCAATTATGGTTCTGAAACTTTTGGTCTCTCATGACTCCAATTGGACTAGTTCTAGTTCTTAACGAGTAACGACTCAAATCATCTATCCTAAATTCTAAAAAAAATTATAGTCTAGAGTCTAAAGTTGATTTAAAATTCTGAGAAACCAGAGGGAACAAAAAGTCTACAAGTTTAACTAAGATGAAGCAGGCAGATCCGCTTTGATTTATATTCTTGTTTGTACTGTATTTTATTTCGTATAATTAAAAGTTTTAGAAAAAATACTTAGCTCTTCACATGCTCCAGAAGATTTGTTTGAGTTTAGGTTTGGGATCACCATGTACAAAAAACACTTATTCTGAAAATATGATTGTATAACAATAATTTCAAAATTCTATAAGATATTTCTTGTTCACAAAAACATATAAAACAACATATCATTTTGTGGGTTTATATTCAGGTTTGAAGAGTCTCTATATAGAACATTAGTACCTAGTCTAAAATAATATCTTACTTTCCAAATTATCTCTAATAATCATTTTTAAAAACAAAATTCTATTATATGTCAATGGAACTTAGAAAAGATCAGGCGAGAAAGATTTAAACAGCAATGAGGAACGCTGGTCTTTAGGAAGATGACATAGGTGGTTTGTTTTGATAATTAATTTTCGTAATTACAAACCAGAAAGCATACGTGCTTAAGCAAATGGAATTGAGAGATTACGTAAAAAACGTGATTACTAATTAACTACAATTTGTAGTGGTCGGTTTAGCAATACAATGGCCAATGTGATTAAGGACAATTGTTGAACACTGGTCCCATGAATTTTACAATTTCAGTATTATGTGCAAACAGAGAAACCATAACAGACTGAGTCACTGAGGAATACATACATTTTAAAATTTTGAAGTTCGGAAGAGCGTAAGATCTAAACACTTAACATTACACAAAACGTACGTAATTTGGAATGTAGCATCAGACGTCAATCACAAAGAGAAATATATGAAAATGAGTAAATAGATAGGAAATAAGAAGCAAGATTTATTTAGTAGACTTATTAGCCAGATCGATTACAATTCTAGCATATAATAACTCATAAATCCATATAGGAATTAAGAGGTAAACATTATTAACCTCCTAAATATCCTAAAGCAGTAGCCATAGCAATGGCAGCCTGAGCCATCATTGAAAAACAAGATACGATCACCAAGAGACATCCCCATTTCAACATATTCACGATATTTATAAACTCAGCTTCAAATATAAAATTATCACAAAATAGCTTTCTTGGTTTAGACTATTAGGTGGGGGTGAAATGCTTTTAGCATGATAGATCAATTTATAGTTGAACAATTACTTGAACCATGCATAAATGATATCTCGTAAGTTGGAAATTAATAAAGGATAGTCAAATTTAAAGAATAAATGATTTTGGAATTAGGAACGTTTTGTCATGAAAGTGCGTAGAACCAATTTGGGCTTAAACTCAAATTGTATATAAGCTTATTATAAGCCCCATTCATATGTCAAAAAGACAATCTAAATATTTTTTTACTTGCTCCTCTAATAACATGTAAACGTGGGACGAGTAGTCTAACTTGCCGTGTAAATTTAAATGGCCATGTTTGGTCCGTATCAATACAAGAAGTCAAGAAGAAGACGTGTTAAGAAAGAAATTGATTGCAAATGAAATTTAGGAAACAAAACTGTCGATGTGGAACCTTCCGTGACTCCAATTAGGGTTCTGAAACTTTTGGTTTCTCATGCATGACTCCAATTATATCATTACCATTTCTAGTTCTTGACGACTCAAGTCAAGACCATTCAAACGGCTTTTTAAAATTCTTTAACGTTCGAGGAAAAGATACAACCCGTTTCCAAAATTTTTTTACATAACATTATCTTTTCATAGAGAAAAAAATAAAAACTTTAGAGAGAATTACGTTAGGAATTTCCGATGGAATATATAATTGGCAAGCCTAAAGTATAAATTATAATTGATGGAAAAAGATACGGTACCTTGCTTATATAAAAACATACTAATAAATTATAGTCTATAGTCACAATTCATCATATTACAAGTCTAGACTCTAAAGTTGATTTAGAATTTCTGAGAATCGAGAGGGAACAAAAAGTCTACAAGTTTGACTAAGAAGAAGCAGGCACATCCGTTTTGACGAAGAAAACGGTTTGGTTGGGAATGATGGAGTTGACCGGTAGACAAGTTTCGTGGAAGAAGAAAACAAAAAAAAAACACGAAATTGGATTAATTTCTAAGACTTGTTAAATTAAATAACTTCCAAAGAACAACAAATACTAGTTTTGTTCGACGAGTGTAATACCGCGTCGAGCATTAAAGTTAACGAGGGGCCATTAAGCATTATATTATTATTACCTATTAATTACGAATTTTAGGGGTTGTTTCCTTCATTATAGCTTACCAAATTAGAAGAAACTTTCTAAATTCTCTGATATTACCTTTGGTTACACACTCACACGTTTACACCTACCCATTTTCCAAGAAAACCTTCGTTCATATTCTTCTAATTCATACGTTTTGTGGTAGTATTTTCAACTTTTGTTTTAAAGTTTTTCAACTTGTATTACCAATTCAATTAGGTAATACACCATCATATTTATATATTGCTCGAAAGATTCGGTAGCAGTTGAGTCTGTTTGACAAATACTAATACAAATTTAAGATAAGTATATTTATTAGAAAAATCGAAACACACTATTCATGAATTTATTCTACATTTTTACTTTAATCCCCAAAACCCATTAAGTTACTCATTTATTGAATAAAATAAAAAAGAACCAAGTCAATGATAAGGTCAACCCCACCAGCCAAAACTTAGTTCACGGCACAACAAGACCTTAAGCACTGAGTCTTTGAGAGGAAGATTTTGAAAATCTCGTGCAAAGACTAAAACATCCTTCTCTACTATATATTCTTTAACTCCACTATCAAGGGTATTTCCGTAATTTAAAACACATACACAATTTCTTATAGAACAGATCAACAGATCAACAACTACTCTGCTCTTACAGGCGACGACGACGTCAACAACCCAAAATACCAAAAACCCCCAAAGAAAACTCAAAACACACAATTAAAGAAACAACATTTCAATGATTCAAGATTTACTTCCTTTTACAGATTTTCTAAAAAACCGAAATTGAAACAAATAAAACCAAAAAACGTTACCTTTTTTCATTGATTCTTCAATTCTCTAACAAATGAGTTAATCTTCCATGGCTGCCATGTTGATGCAGCCATGGCCACCGTTTCTTCCTCATCTAACCCTACTTTTCTTATCCCTAATTTTCTTTTTCCCTAATCAATCATTTTCTCAATCCGATTCTCCTCGAAACATCGAAACATTTTTCCCAAATGACACAATCACCGCTCCAGTTCCACCTCCGGTTCTATCTCCGCCGCAAAACCCACCATCTTCTTCATCGGACAGAGGAAAGATCACGAGGGCTGTGCTTATAACAGCGGCAAGTACTTTACTTGTAGCCGCCGTGTTCTTTTTCCTCGTCCATAAGTGGCGGCGAAGGAGAAACAGAGTCGGCGGTTTTGAGAACACCCTTCAACCACCGGTTCCTCCGTTGGCGGAAGCGGCTTTAGCTCGCGAGGGGTTTACTCGATTCGGCGGAAACGTAAAGGGTTTGATTTTAGATGAGAATGGTCTCGATGTGTTGTATTGGAGAAAGTTACAGAGTCAGAGAGATAATAAAAGTGGAAGCTTTAAGAAAGAGATCGTTTACGGAGACGACGAAGAGAAGAATGTGATTTATTCAAAGAATAAGAAGAAATCTGGACCGGTGACGGAGACTCCTCTCCTCAGAGGAAGATCATCGACTTCTCATAGTGTAATTCACAACGATGATTACCGAAATGCCACCACTCATCCTCCTCCTCATGTCAAGACTGATTCTTTTGAATTCGTCAAATCAGATCCGTCTCCACCACCGCCACCTCCACCGCCAATTCCGGTGAAGCAGAGTGCAACACCACCACCTCCTCCTCCTCCTAAGCCTAAGAATGGTCCATCTCCGCCGCCACCTCCGCCGTTGAAAAAGACAGCGGCTTTGTCATCATCGGCTTCGAAAAAACCACCACCGGCTCCTAGAGGATCATCTTCAGGGGAAGGTTCAAATGGTCAGGTAAAGCTCAAGCCTTTACATTGGGATAAAGTCAATCCTGATTCTGATCATTCCATGGTTTGGGACAAAATCGATCGTGGCTCATTCAGGTAACATACATCTTTCAATTTAGGTTTTTAGTCAGATAAAAACCAAAACTTTACAAATTTTGGTTTCTTCTTCTTCCTTCAGTTTCGATGGCGATCTAATGGAGGCTCTCTTCGGCTACGTGGCGGTCGGAAAGAAATCTCCAGACGACGGCGGTGATAAAAAGCCTAGTTCAGCCTCACCGACCCAGATATTCATACTTGACCCGAGAAAGTCTCAGAACACAGCAATTGTGCTCAAATCCTTAGGAATGACTCGTGATGAGCTTGTGGAATCGTTAATGGAAGGTCACGATTTCCATCCAGATACACTAGAGAGGCTGTCTAGAATAGCTCCAACGAAAGAAGAACAATCAGCGATTCTCCAATTTGACGGTGACACGAAAATGCTCGCAGATGCTGAATCGTTCTTGTTTCATCTTCTAAAGGCAGTGCCTTGTGCGTTCACTCGTCTAAATGCGTTACTCTTTAGAGCTAATTACTATCCAGAGATCTCAAACCATAACAAATCTCTCCAGACGTTGGACTTAGCTTGTACAGAGCTTAGATCACGTGGCTTGTTCGTGAAGCTATTAGAAGCGATTCTGAAATCTGGAAACAGAATGAATGCAGGAACAGCTAGAGGAGATGCTCAAGCTTTTAATCTCACCGCGCTTTTGAAACTTTCTGATGTGAAGAGTGTTGATGGGAAGACTACTTTGCTTAACTTTGTTGTGGAAGAAGTGGTTAGGTCCGAGGGGAAGCGATGTGTGCTTAACCGTAGGACTAACCGTAGCTTTAGCCGTAGCAGTAGCAGTAGCAGTACGATCTCCGAGGTTATATCGAAGGAAGAACAAGAGAAGGAGTATTTAAGACTCGGTTTACCTGTTGTTGGAGGGTTAAGTTCTGAGTTCACCAATGTTAAGAAAGCTGCAGCTATAGATTATGACACGGTTGCTGCAACGTGCTTGGCTCTTGCGGCTAGAGCGAAAGATGCTAGACGAGTGTTAGCGCAGAGCGAAGGAGATAACAAAGAAGGAGAGAGGTTTGTGAAGAAGATGAATGAGTTTCTTGATTCGGTTGAGGAAGAAGTGAAGTTAGCGAAAGAAGAAGAGAAGAAAGTGTTGGAGCTTGTGAAGAGAACAACAGAGTATTACCAAGCAGGAGCTGTGAAAGGAAAGAATCCACTTCATTTGTTTGTTATTGTTAGAGATTTTCTTGCTATGGTTGATAAAGTTTGCGTAGAGATCGCAAGGAATTTGCAGAGGAGGGCATCAATGGGGAGTCCTCAGCAGAGGAATGCGGTTAAGTTTCCGGTTTTGCCTCCGAATTTCATGTCGGATAGATCAAGAAGTGATTCTGGTGGATCAGATTCCGATATGTGAGTTTGCAAAGACCATTTTGAAACTTGATGATCATATTGTTAGAGGAGAAATGATTTGCTTGGTTGTAAATAATAGAATCGTTTGGGTATTGATTATATTTTTTGCCTAAAAAACTTTTTGAAGTGCTAACAAGATTTGATAGTCCAAGGGTTTTTTTCTGCATAGTGAGCATCCCATATTATAAGAACAGAGTTTTGCAATTTGACACTACATATTATGTGAATCAGTGACCTTTCTAGGATCTATTCTTCTGTATAAAACTTTGGTTACATTTTCACCAAACCTGAATTCTGTGGAGGAAACAAATTCAGACCTTGAACAAATTTCTCAGAAGCAGTCAAGGTCAAGATTGTTAATTCATGAATATTCTATTCTTTTTCATTTCTTGCCATGTCTTAAATTCTTGAATTTTTGGGTTTGGAGTTGATAATGACAAACTAAGAAGTCAATAGTTTGAACTAGACAATGAAAGGTTGTTGATACAGTAAAAAAGATGAAGTCAATCTCACAACCAATATTTACATCAAAAAGTACAAAACAAGAAAAGCAAAAAAATATTCCTCTTGTACAATATCTGGTAATTTCTATGGTTCAACAACACTTATTCCGATTGCTTATTCAGCTTGAAGAGTTCCACCACATTCACAGCTGGTCAAGTGTTTTACAACTTCACCTTCCGGTTCAAGGACTCACCAGATGGCACAGATTTCAACTATGTTGGTATTAACATCAATAGCTTACTATCTGAGAAATACGCTTTGGCGGTAACTTCAAAGATGATGCTACTTTCAGGAACCTTTCTCTTGCCAGCTGAAAATCAACGTAGGTTTGGACTTTGGATTGACTATGATAGCTCCAAACAGCTTAATGCTACTACATCCTATTCGTGTGTCTAAACCCTCCTCTACTTACTTTTCTGGTTAAGGTACATTTGGGTACATCTCATCAAAGCTCTCAAAAACAGAGAAAGAAAGCACAAGCTCTGATGGATTCGCATTTGGAGTTTTCAGTCTGGAGACTGAGTCGAAGAAACGAACATCATTGCCGAGCGAAACGGTTCTTATTGTTTGGGTGCTAGATTGTTAAGTTTAAGGAGATAGATATACTGCAGTTGCTTGATGAGAGGGCTCAACTGGCAGTAGTTTTGCTCGGCTTCCTTTTTCCGCATCTGGTTGCAGGCTTGCACCATTCAATTCTTGGACAATGTGGCTCACACAATTTGCTTGGCATAGTGAAAGCTCCAGAAATCAATGGAGCCAACTAAAACCAGGTGGATGCAACCGATTTTTGTGCGCCTAGTGTCATCGCTCCATTGACAACCACATAATCATGGGAGATAAAAGATCAAACCCATAATGGTAACACTAAAACATCATCAGAAGAAACTACAGAACCTACAATTCTTATTAATGGGGTTGTAGAATAACTGTGTAGATTATCTGCTGAACATTAACAAGATTGAATCAATCCACTTCTATTATCAGAACAACATAATCATTGGGTTCTATACACATACATAGGAAACTGTAAAATATAACTATCTCTTCTTACTCTTATTACTCCTTCCACAACTAAATACTGGCAACTAGAGACTTTTCTATATAACAACAAGATCATTGGCTCTATACCTCAAGACTGATGAAACAACATTGGTGGCACACTTTGCCAGAAGATCAGACTAAAAACCGGATGGATATAACTATCATAACACCTTGTCTAAAGTGCTTTTCGGTAAGGTCCGCATTGGAAGAGAACCCTGCATAGGTTTTGCTTTCGGATTAAGGGAGTCCCTCCGGGTTTTGGCATCAATCACTCCGCCTGCCTGTTGAGCAAAAGAAAAGCAATGAGAACAGAACATATCTTCCGGGATTCAAAAAGTGAAAAACTTTGTAAACCTTTGGGTTCTTCTGCAAGCCTGTCTTCTCTACAGGTCTTGCACCAGACTTGGAAAGCTGAACACCGTAAAGAAAGTATTAGCGTGAGTACGCAGAGATTGTTAGAGTAAACCTCCATGTTTGGTTTGGTCATGAGATATTACCTCCTTCTTTTGTTTCTCAGTGGTCTCATTGCTTTTGAGTCCATGAGATGGAGAACGATAGGCGGTAGTACCACTTCTCTTCTCCATGCTACTTGCTTTTGCAGGCCTGCTTTTTTAGGACAAGAACCAAACTTTTAAGACTCAAAACATGAGATGCTAAGTTTCAGTAAACCAAGCAAAGGACCACAAGTCCCATGAGTATATATATACCTGCCATGTTCCTTCTGACGAGTAGCTACTGACGGAATACTAGTTGGCTTTGCAGGATTCTGGTTTTTAAGTAGATGATCAGTGGATAAACTTTCACAGTTGGTGAATTACAAAACATTACTTAATACCACTGTACCTGCTTTACTGCTGTGTTTATCCCGTCGACAGAAGACTTGAAGTCGAAACTCTTTTGAAATGATTTAAATGCACGTTTGACAATGTCTTTATCTCCCATTCGCTCCATAATCAATGATTTTCTAGTGCTTGTAAGAGCAGTAGGATCAGAAGCAGGTGGATCCAGATTCATAGAGATATGCAATGACTTTGGAGCTGCTTGTTTTTTACTCAGTAAAGGCGAGACCTTTTCCTTCTTCATCGAAGAGTGAGATGTAGTCAATGAAGTTTTTTGTGGAGCTGGCTTGTACACTCTTGGAGCTGAAAACCCTTGTGGGGCTTTTGAGATTGGTGTAGCTGGTTTCTTTGTTGCCTTCATCATGTTTCTGATCTCCTTGCTAGGTGGAGTTTTCCTACTTGTTACAATCTTGTTAGTTTCCGGTTTTGTCGTCACCTGTTTAGGCTGTAGACAAGAAAGTAATAGAGCGTTTTAGAAAACCGCAATGAATACACAATCACACACATCCGAAGAACTTAAAAACTTTACCTTAGGAGAGCTTCTCGTAGGATTAATCTGCACATTTCCATCATTCTTCTTAATTACATTAGGCTTCTTCTCTTTCTTCACCACCTTCATTGGCGTTTCATTTGTATCCTCAGTATCATTTGGTAATGAAATGTTGTCTCTCACTTCTTCTCTTACTTCTGTCTCTTCTTTCTCATCCACTTGTAAAACCTCTTCTGGTTTCTCCTGCATATCGACAACCACTTCGGATTTCTCATCCACAAGAGCAATCTCTTCTGATTTCTCCAACACTGGACTATCCACACTGTCCTTGACTTCTTCTTTCACCTGATCAACCGAGCTTTGACATTCCTTGACAACGATAGTGTCTTCATTACTTTCATCCATACTCAGTTCATTCACTTCAGCAGCAATGTCAGTCACATGCTTATCTTCATCACAAGTGAATTGCCCATTAAATCCCTCATCAACCTCAGACTCTGCCACTAACCCGCCATTTTCGCGTTCCACACTCTCCTGATCCGAAACAATAGATCTAAAAGATGCATTCTTGTCCATTAGTTTCTCCTGATCAATGATCTCAGCTTTCCTCTCAGCAATCTTCTTATAATGAGCTTCAAAATAAGCCTTCTTTTGCGCAACTGACCCTGGAGTAGCACACTTGCCAACTTCCTCCAAGTACTTGTTTGGAGAGAAAGCTGAGAACTTCTCCCATGAAAGTGAATCATTCTCAAACCTACCAAATGAAACCGACACTTGCAAGCTCGGGTTCGATGAAGCCACTGCCTTTACCGGTGTATCCTCCCTCAAGCCATAAAATCCCTAAACCATGGAAAAATCAATAACCCCCAAATCAAGTCCAGAACTTGGAAGATCTCACAAACACAGAGACTAGTCAGATGGATGAACAGTGAAATTACCTTATCGTCAATAGTGGCAACACCAACTTGCATATCCCCCATTAATGCTCAGCACAAGAACCTTAATTCACACAAAATCAAAGAAATTTGTATCAACAACCATAGCCATTTATATCTTAAGTAAAGAAAGATCTAGTAGCAACTTTTTCACTTTCTCCTTTTGTAATTCTCTAAACCCTCTTAGTGAGCAAACTCAGATTCTTATGGACAGTACTAGTATGTACTTAAAAATGAACAAACTTTCAAATAATTGAAGAAACAAAAAGAAAGACTCAAATCTTCCATCAATGATTAAAAAAAGTACCAAACTTCACTTTGAAGAAGAGAGAGAAAGTGAAAATGAGGATCTAAATCTTACCAGAAAAGTGAAGTTAACCCACAACACAAAATTGTTGTTAAATTCCCAATGATGATCCACCTTTTTCAAGCTTGCTGCTTCCAGTGGACACACAGAGAAAAAAGTTGAAACAGTTCTCTAAAGTAAATATCAATATCTTTTCAAAGTTGAAGACTTTGAACACAAAAGGGGAAGACTTGTCAATAATGAAAAATTGAAAACTAATAAATAATTTTGGTTCACTCAGTAGAAAAAAATCTTAAATGCAGATTTAACAAGAGTGAGAGAGAGAGAAAGATGAACACAAGAGGGAGAAGAAGAAGAAGAGATTAGATCCGACTCAGATCGGAAATGAAGACAAGAGTCGGTGGGACCATTAGCAAGTGTAGTAATATGGAAGTGATAACTTCAAAGCAATCAAAGAGAGAGATCAAGAGACAAATAACACTGTTACTACTTGCGTACTAAGTACTTGTTTTATGAGTAAAATATTTGATTAGAAAACACTAATTGTAGTAAATTAAAAAGAATATAAAATTGGTGTAATGAATGTTATGCCTCCTCTTCTCAGGACACCTGTGGATGTGAGGGTCCCTATAGATTCTTCTCAGCGGTGAAACTCAACTACACACGAAAAATAGTTATGAACCAATGATCTTTAATCTGGACCCGATTTGATGATAGCCATCAGAAAAAAACGTAAATGGGCTTTAACACAGCCCATTAGTAGTTTTCAAACGACTGTGTTTTGTCATGTAACTCATGGTTTTGAAACTGAAAACATTTATGATCCTTCTTGACCAGGTTTAATAACATGAACAACTTTAATTGCTTCTCCAATACCAATAACTTAGATTCCCAAAGAGTCAAAAGTCATCAATGTCATCACAAACCTTGCCATTATCATAAACTTAGACATGTATCTCAAAAGAACGCATAGGCTCAGATACATTACTACGAATGAGAGATTATTAGAGTTTATTGTGAATATACAAACTAGTAAACTAGATTAAACCACTGCAATAGGCACTTCAAGATGAGTTTTATTCAGAACAAAAGATTGGAAACAAGAGCACCAAAATGACAAAAGAATTCTCAACAAAAATAAGGGTCATCAATGGCTTTTCCACAGCCTCTATATCTCTTCCCTCTCTAAAATCGATTTATACACCAGACAATCAAAGAATCACTCACCTGAACAATGATATTTGTAAAATCTGTAATACAACAGAAGATTTATGAAAAAAGAATGAAACTTTTTTAAAACTCTCACAAAAAGCTTGAATCATCAGTCAACTCTGATAAAGAAGCAAAGCCAAGTAGAGACTGATCCTTAGCTCTCTCAATCTTATGTTTATACAAATCATATGGCTCCCAAAGATGATCCAACGGACAAGGTCTCTTCTCATCAAGTCTAACCCATGGCTTACCTTTACCACTCCAATGCAACAAGCTCACAGGACCAGGATGCAATGACCGACAACTTCCTCGTATATTGTCACCTCCTAAACCATGTTGGTTCCATCTATGATCAATAGCTTCAACATTACCAGCAAACACCAAAAGAAACGGTGGTAATGATCCAAGATCGTAGATTCTCTTCTTCTTTTGCAATTGCATCCATTGCTCTAACTTCTCTCTGTAATTCCCTTCTCTCCATCTCACAAGATCCATCACCATCACTCCTGTGTTGAAATAGCAAGGTTTTTGACCCGAGATTAGACCCGGTAAAGCCGGGTCTGACCAGAACCCGGAAGTGAAATACTGAGTGAAGTTCGCGTGACAATACTCCGGAGCTCCGATGACCCGTGACCCGGTCAAAACCGTGTTCCAAAGCTTGGTGATATCATCAACAGTTATAACATCCGAGTCAAGATAAATGACTCGTTCCACGCTTTGATCAAGAATATCTCCGAGATAGTTCCGAGCATAGTTCAACGGATTCTCCAAAGCTTGTCTAATCGACGAAGATATGAGATTGATCACCGTATCTTCCCTAAAAATGTAGACTTTAAAGTTCAACGAAGGAAAAGTCGACCTTACGAGTTGACTCAGAACACGAGGACTCGCCGAGTCAAACTCAGCAGCAATGAAATGGAAGAAGACGTTCTCTGGACACGACGCGTGGCGGAGAACAGAATGAACAGCTGCGATTGATCCACGGAGATACTCTGAATCCAAAGTCATAGCTATGTGAACAAGCGAAGGATCATTAGAAGAAGAAGACACGAAGTTGTCTCTGTTCACTGATGACGACACACACTCCTTGCCGTTTCTGTAATCTGGAGCTTCCATAAACGGACCAAGTTTACTAAACCCATTACCTCCTCCTCCACCACCACCGACACTCGTGATCCTCGCCGGAATCAACCGTATTCCAACGGCAAAAGGTAACAGAACAATCAAACACACCACCGTTAAAGAAAAACGCGACAACATTACTAAAAAACGCGTTTGAATCAAAGTGAAAGAAAAGATTAAAACTTTATCATCGGCTAATGGTTTAGCATTGTGAAAGATTAAGTAAAGAATTGAAAGAATGTTCCTTTTTTGAAGTTTTGTGTCTCTCCACAGAGATGGAGAGATAAGGAAAGAGGAAGAAGAAGAAAGATTGGTTATAAAAGAGATGTTTTTTTTGCTCATTGTCTAATTGCTTTAACTTTTTGATTCTTGATGATTTTGTTTTCCTCATTTAGGAGATTGCGTATCACGCGCGTATTAAAAACGCGTGAGACTGCATTAAGTAAGGCTTAGTCGTTAAGGGAAAGTGTTGCAAGAACAAATCCCTAAAACTGTAATTAAGAAAAAGGTAATTACAAGATTTTAGGTGAGTTTAAGGGTTAATGTTCGTCTGTGGTAACGTGTAGGGTAAGGTTTTGGAACTTGTCTTGACCCATTAAGGCGGTGCCAGCTGTGAAAGTCGAGGGAAACAGCTGGATGATTCGCTTTTTGGTGATTGGACGGTTGAGATTAAACGATGAGAACTCAACTTGTCACGTGCTCTGCACACCTATTTGCTTTGTAATGTAGTAGTAATGGCTTATGAAATATGGCATTGGAAAGAAAGAAAAATCAGAAAATGTTTGCTAATAAATGTTTGTTTGCCAGTGGAAAAATGTTTTATTTTTGTAAAAAAAAAATATTAGAGATTTTCGTACTGGCAAGCATAAGCAATGATGTAACACCCTAGAAATTATTTCACAGGAATGTTTTTTGGAAAAGAAATATAGTAATTCTATAAATATCAGATTTTTTACAGGCAAGCAAGGTATATGTTTCATAAAGAATATATTTTTCCTCAAAGAATGTTAAGGAAAATGAAATAATTCCTTTTACATAACAAAACGGTAGAGAAAAGCACTGGATTTTGTACAACCAAACAAGGAAACTATAGATTCACTCACATGTCTCAATCATTTAACAATGATTTACTGTATAAAGTTAATGCATCGTAGACAATTTGTAGAAACTAGTACAGAATTTTAAGAGAAATCAATATCAAAATGTTACGATAGTTTTTAAACAAATGACACTATGGTTTCACCGACGAATAAAACTCGTGACTATCATTCATAATCTCTTTTCTTAGAAATTTCATTAGAAAAGTATATATTTTTTGTTGTCGGCACATTTTATTAGGATATTAAAACTGGATTTTTGTTCTCTTGTTAGTGTTAGTATATATAATTGGGCTGTTGGTAGCGACTACCAAGCCAATTAAATCCGAATATTCCCGTTGGGTAGTGCAGCTCATGGTCAGACGTAACATCTTATTATATAAATTAACATTTTTCAATAATACCCATCTATGTATCACTTTCTCGATTTTTCTTAAAGACTTTTTCTCGGAGATGAGAAGAGAACACGATGAAGATTTCCGTTGAACATATTTGATTTTGATGATATAGAGAGAATATTCTTGAATAAGGTAATCAAAGAGAAAAACTAAGCAAAAGTTTGTTTGGTATCTTTTGGCTTATGGAGAGAACCAAATGTTTGGTTAACGAAGGAAAAAGGAATGAATCATCAATGTTCTCTAGTAGTGATTAGTTGTTACAAGAAATCTAATTTAAGTTATTAGAAAAAGAGAGTGAGTGGCGTCATAGAGTTTACCTATTCAATAGGATTTGGTGTTTATGTGGGGGATGATGAGAAAGGGACTTGTAGAGTAGAAGCAAAGATTATTCAAGTTAGGTGGTGGAGACATAACTATTCATGTGGTTTTATTGGTACCGACGCAGAAGTTGGTTTTGCCTTTTTATTTTTTATTATTATTAGATAACGAATTTAGCACGGGTTCTCGATGATTTTGTAATCACATGTCGACAATTTTTACTTGAGACAAAGAAGCTGATGATCTTTTTCTTAACAACTCTCTTGTTATTTCTCGATCTTTTCTCACAGAGAGTGATGTTCGAAGCTTCTTGCTTAGTGGTGTCACTAACAATGTTGAAGTGTGAGAACAAAAAATTTGGCAAACTGATGAAGCAATGGCTTTACACTTGAAATGAAAATTTGAAAAAAACCAGAAATATTTTGGTAGCAAGTTAAAAAGATTTGTGTAGCCTTGCCTTTTGATTTATTGAACCATCATCTCCTTGGGAAGCAATGATTTATGGAAGTGTTACTTTGAGTTCTTTTCTGTCTGCTCCAAATGACTGCAAATTTCAACATAGAAAATGCGTAAATCTCTAGATTCATATGCAAAGAAACTACTAATGCTACAGGGTTACAAAAGAACTAATACATGTTATGTTAAAGGATGTAATAGTACCTCAACTCCGCAGTCTTTCACGTACATGTTTGTGAATAGCTCAGATGCATCTGGTACAGGGCTCTCCTGAAACAAGTTAGACGACACGGAATTTAGTAAAAGCTTTGATAAACATAACAAAGACAAAGCTGGAAACAATTAAGATTATTACCTTAGCCTGAGCTACGGCGTCATCTACTTCTTTCCTTATCTCTTTCTCCATGTCCTTTAAAGTCAAGAAAATATTGTCATTTGCATAGGCAAGTATGATGATTGTATTTGTATGTATAAATTTTTCAAGCTTTTTGTCTGCAATGGGAAGGTGGTGAACAGAGTACCTTAAGCTCTTTTTCTGTAGCTATGTCATGAGATAAGAGCAACTTTCTCACCCTTTCAATTGGATCACGCACCTAAAGGTAACACACCAGATGAAAACTTTACAGATTAAAAAAGTTTCAAATTGCCAATGGTTAGAGCAGTAGTCTTACAAATGAACAAAGAACTAACCTGTCTCACGCCAGAGATTTCATCACGAGTACGGTAGGTGCTTCCTGGGTCAGACATAGAGTGACCGTGGTATCTGTAAGTGTCCATCTCAAGTATCTGCGCAAAAAATGGCAATGGTGTGTTGGGTCATATCACTAGGTAGAGAATGGAATTATTAGAATCCAATAAATGTCAACGCTTGTTGGTGACAAAAATGCAATAAAGGAAAATTGGTTGGAAGCTGAAGTCAAAATGTATAATTTCACTACATAAGTAGTTACACACCAAAAACTCCAGGAGATATTAGTGACATCTAGTACTTTTTAATAGAAATCCTAGGAGTTTTCCAATCACGGCCTGTCACGCTCTCGCGAAATCAGCAAACAAATTTCTCAAACAAAGGTACTTAAGAAGTCTTTTTTTCTCCAAACAATTTACTCAAATAAACCTCGTTCAATCCGAAATCTAGGCTAGGTAGAAGTTACCAGTAAACCATTCTCTCCAACCAAAGTAGCATCACACATGCAAGCAATAAATGATTCTATGAATTCTTAATTTACATAAAATGCTCAGAGTCATACTGATTAGGTATCGGTTTTATGGTATCAATTTCATAAAACCAATAGGAGCAGCTGTAATACTTACAATAGGTCCATTCTTGAGAGCATGCTCCTTGGCAAACTTGCACGCCTGTTTCACAGCCAGTGCATCCATACCATCCACCTAGAAAACAAAGCAGAAGATGCTCATCAGTTAGCTTTTTAAGTTCGCACTCTCACCAATCAGAAAAACAACGGATACAAATCTATTGGGTAAAGTAATAAAAACACTGAAACAACTTCTGTCAAACAACAAAGATAGAGACAATTCCATTGGTAGTTCTCACAAATTACAGTTGATCACTTCTGAACACACAACTGTGAAGATTTGTTCTTTTTGTGTCTAAAACCCTATCCTCACTAGTCACTACCTAACTGTTCCATATTCGACGCAGCGGTCTTACGCACACAAGAAACTCATGTATCAATTAAAAGCGTGCTATAGCTATTTACCGAGACAATCAACTATAATCAAAGCAAAAGTATTGTAATGCTTCAAGATCAAGCTAATAGACAACTCAGTCTCACCTTCAAGCCAGGAACATAATCTCCACGCTTGAAATAAGCCGGAGACTTGGCCGACCTCCATGTAGCCGTTCCCATTCCATCTAAACATCAAACAATCCAAATCAACACAAAATAATGCAAGTAGTTCCACCAAACAAACACAATTAACAAAACAAAAAAGACTCACAATGGTTATTCTCGCAAACAAGAATCGCAGGCAAATCCCATAAAGCCGAAATGTTCAAAGCCTCAAATAACTGTCCTTGATTCGCAGCACCATCACCATACAAAGCAAAAGTCACAGCCTCATCCTTATTATACTTCTGAGCAAAAGCCAAACCACATCCCAATGGAATCTGAGCACCAACAATCCCATGTCCACCATAAAAGGAAGCATCTTTCTTATAGAAATGCATAGATCCTCCTTTACCATGAGAACAACCAGTTTTTCTTCCCATAAGCTCAGAGAAAGCATCAACAAGCTTCCCACCACGACCAATGAAAGTACAGTGATCACGATACGATGTAATAATCGCATCTTTTTTGGTAATCGCCGCTTCCATTCCCACCGCTAAAGCCTCTTGACCATCGTACAAATGGCAGAATCCACGGATCAGCTTAGCCTTGTAAAGAGAATCTGCTGCGATCTCCATCCTCCTCATCCGAGCCATGTCACGGAAAAAGGCTAAGATCTCCTCCGATGAAGTCTCAACGGAGCGTGACGGCGATTCACATAGATGCGATGTGAAAGGGACAGCGGTTTCGATTGTGATTGGTGATGAATCTGTGGAAACATGACGGCGGATGGAGGATGGTAAAGCGGTGATCGCCGGCTTTAGGAAAGTGTTGGATCGCGAAGACAGTCGTGATAACGCCATCGCCGGAACTCTCCGATTTGCTTTTAGAATTTCTCTTTTTGCAAAAATCGAATCTTTTTAAAGTGAGGGAAAGAGTTACAAGAGGGCGAAGCGTCGTTTATGGAAAAGGTCAAACCTTTTATGGTCATTTGACTCATTATTTCTACATAACATACCAAAAAAAAATTTGATAAATGTTACAACATACAATACTTTACACAAGAGTGAGTGAAAAAGACAAGCTTTACATATGTAACATCCTTTTCTGTCACAGACAACAAAAAGCCAAATCCTTTGTTGCTTTCTTCTCATGAACAAAGAGAATGCAATTTGGCTCTATCCGGTGAAGTCAACCAACAATGGAGAATTGCCACTTTTGGTTTTGTTTTGTCTCTGTTAAGTTGGAGGATGAATGAATGAACAAGTTGAGTTGATTTGGTATTTTTCTGTATCCTTCTTCCAGATTGTTACAGGCTGGTCACAAGAAGTTCGTTTGGTAACATTGTAACCTCATTTGCCATACCCAAGAATGCTCATTGTAGCACACAGTTTTTCTTCTCTTTTTAACTCGCACCAACAAATCTTCTGTTTCTAATACATAGGAGACCTGCAGGAGATTTCAGAAACGCGGTTTCAAGTGCTGGTCTCTCATGGATATACTCATAAGCAGTAAGCTTGAAAAAGGGAAGAAGATAAAAGTGTTACCTTTGAAGAACCGCATGCTATCTTACACTCCAACCCATTTTTAATCTTAACACCATCTGTGCTGTATAACTGTTCATCTTTACCACAAACTTTGCGCTTGTTCCTGGAGAAAACGACAAATGGCATTGCATCTGATGAGTGACCCACTAGGTTTCAGAGATCAAGGGACAGTCATTTGTTCATGTTCTACAGTTACCTATTTAAATAGATTCTGCGATCCTCCCTTGCATTCGATTGTATGGAGAGGAAGTCATTGTGGAGATAAGCTGCAAAGGTCGGGTCAATGGATACAGATGTCACATCGGGCTTATCAAGGCCGTTGCACATAAGCTGAATTGAGAGTTTGGCTGGGGTTGATAATCTCTGCATACACATGAAGTTTCAGAGTCCAAAAGCTTGATCAGCAGTGCATTGCAGAATATACGTAGTTTATGTAAGATGGTGCAAAAGCTTACACATTCAATACGGTAAATATTCTCATCGGGAAGAAGGACACGGGCATTATCGTAATAAACAGCATCAAAAATCGTTTCAGGCCTTCTGGATTTCTCATATGCATGAAGCTGCAGAAGTTTGTTGTCCATCTCATCAGCTGCTACTCCTTGGAGCTGAAGAATGGCCACACGTAGGCTAGTAAAAAGCAAGTAAAGATAGAGAGGCGAATACATAGAGTAAACACCAAAGACCAAAACTCACATGCTTGATGAATTTATGGATCAGTTTGTCCAATGTGAAGAGAATATACGACTGAGTCCCGATTATCGCTCGGCAGTCATCTTCAAACTTGGCATTATCAGATGTACCATCAAGTAAGTTGTAGAGAGCAGTCATGAATCTGTTCCACATAAAAGAAATTTATAAGAAGGAACACATATGAATGTCAGAAACAAATACAATTTCTGCAGCAAAAAGCAAACTTCACCTGGCATAGGAATCAGTAGGATTTTTGGTATTTGAGGTCCTCCACTTTCCTTCCGGGGATGATGAGTTAACTTTTGCTGATAGTATTCTCTCGTACAATATCTGTCAAGAGTAATTGCGTAAAGTTAGCTAGAGAAAACTCTTTGTACTTTAGATTTTACTGTTTATATTTTTTTCAAACTGTATATGATTCTTAGCTCTTACCCGGTGCAGCCTGAAAAGCACGTAAAACGAATCATTTCCATAAAAGACTTGGGAGTTTTTCAGAGAGTCTTTGTCCTTGTCATGCAAAGCTATAGTTGAAGGAACATACTTTGCTAAGGGCTTTACATGCAGTAAGAATCGTGCTGAAAAGGGTAAGGCAGACCCATCTTCTTCAGCATCATGTGCATCAGCCATACCTTCAGCCTCGCATTCGCTATCTCCCTTACTATTGCGATCCAAATCATCCTCCGGACCTTCACCACCACCAGACTCCGTTCCAGAAACATCACCGTTCTCATATGCATTTCTGCTGTCCTCTGATGATCTTGCGGCGTTTTCGTCACCTTCAGCATCATTCTCAGCCCCTGTCTCCAGACAAGAAGGTTCCCCTTCTCTACTTCTATCTCCGATAATGTTATTTCCAGTATTATCATTCGCTTTGCTGGTGGTCTCCAAACCAGTTTTTTCATAAACTGCAAAATTATCTTCCTCAAAGTCTCCATTGGGAGAAAGTTCACCTTCTTCTCTTTCAACTTTGGAATTCCCTGCCAACTCTTGGGTACTTGTTATTTCTACCGAGATCCCATTTGACAATAATCTCTTGTTACCAACCTGTGGGACAAAGTTTATCAGTACCACATCTTGGTTAACACAGAACTAAGGGTGTGTAACTTAAAATTTTAAAGCTACCTAAGATTCATATGAAGGACCTAAGCACAAGTGTAAACAATGGGAAATATTTTTCCATATCAACAATATCCGGTCATAAATTTGAAATCGAATCATCTACTCAGACAGTATCAGATCACATATATAAGATGATGGGACTAAAAAGTGCTTCACTGACACTATACCTCTAATTTTGGCCCATTTCCATTATCCATCTTCAACTCCAACTCTGTTCCACAGGTCACAGGCTTCAGATTATTATTGTTATGTCCTGACCAAGTAATGAGGAAACAATTCATTAACTGGACAAAGAAAATAAAAAATTCCAAGAGAACTTGTAAGCAAGATTTCGAGGTGTTACCGGTCATGTGTACTATACTGCTTCCTCCATTACTTTGGTCTAATAATCCATCCACAGCGAGAGCAGTTGAATCGTGTACATGCTCAATAGAAACAGCTTGTTTGCTTTCAGGCTTTTCACCAGACGTAACTACATTCTTCAGCATTTTCTCATGCTGAGCAGTCTCACATAAGGCATCTGAAGTCCTAACAGCAGCGCCATTCCTCACCGAATTACTAGGTAGCCCCAACTGATTATGTTCATTAGCTTTTTGAGATGTATTTGAGCGTCTAGAGTCGGCAACACTAGCGTAATTGTGAGGACTTCCCTCGCTCTCGCCAGCACTTGAACTACCGCTTTTTACATTCTGGTTTATGGACTTGACAACGTCTTCCTGGTCTTCAGCACCTTGAGGGCGAGAAGGAACACCAAATATTTGTTCCACGAAGGTTGTCCAAATCTTCATTACCTTATCTAACTGTTCAGTAGAGCACATTTCTGCACACGAATATTTGATCAGCTGGTAGAGATCTTCATGAAGGTCAGGATCTGGATAATCAAACTCCAAATTTGGGGAAATGGATAGTCTATTTCCCGCTGCAAATGCAAGAAGTGAATCATCCTCTCGCTTCTTTTCAGTAATGTCTTTTATCTCTGCCAACAATGCTGCAGAGAAAATATACTACACAAAGTCACTTCATAGCCTGATATAATAGAATAATGTGTGAAATAGGTTATGGACAAACCTTTCATGCTGAGACTCTTCGAATCCTGCTGTTTGAAGTAGAAACTTCGATGATCAAGCGATTTGTAGTAATTCTTAGCATATATGTCAGCCCAGACTTTGTCAAAATCAGAACGACACCTTGCCCACTCTTCTTGCTTCTGTTTCAAACGTGTTAGGATAACAGGTAATGCAAGAGACACGTTCTTCTTCAACACATCCATCACATCGAGCCCGTGATCACCATATAAACGTTCAATGCATCTTAGGTTTAGAGCTACAAAGACAGTAACCAAGGAATCCATCAAAAATGTAAAAACAAAAATAGCTCAGCTACTAGTGTTTTAACATTCATGCTGCTTTTTGTTTTACACCAGCTTATATTACCTGTGAGGTGATCCTCGACACGGATGGGGCTGTTGGTTTTCAGTTCATTACTGTTAATCTTTGCCAGTAATTCTTCCACATGCTTTGTAGTTGAATTCACAGACTCTAATAGCATATCTAGCTCAAACCTAAAGCAAAAAGAGAGAGAAATATATTAAAAAAAAACAAAGATAATGACTCACAATTTGACCAAAAATAGCTCACAATAACAGGATAATACAGGGTTTCCTATAAAAAAGTATGAAATAAAAAGTATGAAATACAGGGTTTCCTATCCGTTACTGTCCACCATTAGAAGTTAACAAACTAACCTGTCATCTTCACATTTGAAGAGGCTCTCTTCATACTGGTTCTTACGCATGTGGCTAAATGAATAATCTTCACTTCCTGATGTGACGGAGACCCAGTGATCGTTAAGAACCAGTTTACCGAGCTCTGTCTTCTGGCTTGCAATAGAAATTGGGTACTACAGAAAGTAAAATATCTTACATTAGTGATTAGAATAATGAAACAAAAGATGAGCTCAAGAATAGCAGATCCACATATAACAAGCTGCAGCCACATACATTCTTTGGAAGTAACCGATAACTAGGAGTGCATTGTTCACAGTTCGAGAGATCTAGTTCACTGATTGGCTTTGCCCATTTCAGATTTGCAGCTGCTTTTTCAAGCCTTTCCTTATCATGATCTCTGTCTCTAAACCCGTCATCTCTCTTATGTTCCTGGTCTCTATCATTTTCCAGTGACGGTTGAGGATATTTCCCTTCACTCCACAAGGATTCTGCAGTATAGTATAGAATGGATTTGTTTTCTTTTCAGCACTAGAAATAGATATATCTAGAAAGAAGATCAAACATAATAGTGGAGTTGTGTAGTTCACTACTCGTGAATACTTAACATATATAGAAAAAGGCTCGGTCACTCAGTATCAGATTCATGTAAACTTGCAAAAGATAAGTAGACTTACTCTTAGTCAGAATACCAGAGAGCAGTCCTTCTGCAAGAAGATTGAAAAGGTTAAGAACCTGTCTTTTTTCTAAAATGAAAGAAGGTAGGAAGAGAAAAATCATAGTTTCGCCGCGTTACCAGTCTTTTCGCATTGCACCAAAAACTCTATAAAAGAATCCATGAGGTCAGGATATACTCCAATTAGATTTCCTACCTGATACAAGCACAAATGTTCATGAATCATTGCAAACAAATGCCACAGTGAGAATTTAATCATTTTATATATGCATACCAAAGATTGTAATTCTGGTCGGCTGATTATTTCTTTCGAAAAGAGATTAAGGCAACGTAAAAACTCCTGGTACTCGGAGGCATTAAGCTTTTCCTTTACTCTATCGACAATAGCTAGATCTTGACTGTAACCTGACATCACATAAGACAATTTTAAGTACATACGGAATAGATAGCAAACAACAAACTCACTCCTTATCATCTTACAAATAAGTTGTCAAAAAACGAGAACTCACTTTTCATGGCACCTTTTTCATCATAAGTAGATGAACTAGGAACCGCTCCAGAAAATTTATTTCCTTCCCTGACTTGATTGGAAATTTCAGCAGAATCATCGCCTCTAATATGTATTTTCTGCTTCTTGTTGAGAAACTGCTCTTTTTTGCTATCAGGTTCGAAATCTCTGACATCCCTATGCTCATTTTCGTTGTTATTACCTCTCATGTGTTCTTTATTTTCTTTCTTCATAGGTCTCTCCCGGTCCATATGTTCAGTACCATAGTCATGGTCAGGATGTGGAGTAATGATCCGGTCCTTCTGCAACAATGCTCAAACAAATGATGTCGGATAATAGAGCAAACATATAGACACTAGTATTTCTAAGATTAAACAGACGTCTGAGAAGAACCTTATCAGGCAGAGACATCCCTCTGTCGCGAGCTGAAGTTTTCACAGAATGAATAGAGGGTGCTGCTGAAGTATCAGGCAGAAAGTGAGTAAACTCTACAAGCAAATCCGTATGATCCCGAAATAGGACGGCAACCTGAGATAGACATGTTAAACTAAGTACAGAATAACCAAAACAAAAGACACAATAGTATCAATCAATGAGCCTACCTCCTGGTAGACTTCAGTTATGGACTTGCTATCCTTTCTGTACATGTTTAAAATGTCTAAAAATGATTTGTATACATGATCATCGCCCTGAAACCTTGTCTGCAAATGAATAAATATCTAAGAGAGTAGGAAAGGGAAAAGCAGTAATTTCCTTGGACAGTTTAGCACATAAACATATATATACCTTAATCTTGTTAACAAAACTAATTGCTTCCTCAAACTCAACGCGTTTCTTCAGTGGAGGTTGTCCATCTTCAGGTTGGAGTGTAATCTCAAAACCCTTTGGCAAGAAGGTATTGAAACCCAATATCAACTCTTGGTGTCCTTTGAAAAGTTCTTTTACTCTTGTTATGACACCAGCTGTATCAACTCTACAACGCAAAAAAACAATTCAGAATTCAGTTCTCAGTATTATCCGGACCAAGACCAAAAAACCAAACATATAAGAAGAAAGAACTATACCGCTGAGACTTAAAATTCTTCATGACCTCAAGAAACTCGTCATATTTTTCACGTTGATCCTGAAATTTATCCTTCACGGCTTTAAGGTATGCAAGCGCGTCATTTGTAGTAAGCTTCTGTGCACTTCCTCCTCCAACCATGGCTATTGAAGTTGAACAGAGCTTCATTACCATCAAAACAGATCATTTAAACGCCATTAAACATCTCAAAATACCAAAGAACGTTTCTTCAAAAATTGCGAATTCTAAGTAAATTTAGATTCAACAACATCAGCAAAAGAACAACAAATTCCTTCATCTTAATCCACGAATCACAACCTAATTAAAACTAGTAATCAGTCAAATAAACAAGGAAATTCAAAGAATCGAACTTGAATTCGACCCAACAAGAACACCAGCAGATCTAGCAGCTACAAGAACAATTTTTGAAGAAAAAAAGAAAGAGACGGACCAGAAAAATTCGATCTTAACTTAATCCACAGATTATTTCACATTCAGTTCACGATTAAAATTGTAATGCCCAAAAATCAAACACAAAGGATAAAAAACGAAAGAAGATCATCATCGTTTATGTGTAGGGAGTTTACCGAAGAATTTCAGAGAAGGAGTCTAGAAGAACAAGCTTCCTCTTACAAGACGAAGACGAAACAGCTGAGAAGACAAAAACTATTCAACAATTTTCAGACAGAAAGACTCACTGAGCAAACGAGAGAGTTTTATGTTTTTATGAAGAAGATTGAGATTTCTCTAAGGAGTTTTACGTCTTCCTCTTAAGTAAATTAAATTATATTTTCTCGTTCCGTAAATTTCCTTTTTTCTGTTGACGAAAAAAAAAACATTTCTCCTTTTTTTAAATGTTTTTTTTTTAAGTTGTATTTTCTTGTTTATATTACTTCCTTTTTTTGTTATATCATTTTTGGAGACTTATAATTTATCTTCTCCTTTTAATATTTCCAATCACTTTAATTTTGGAAATTTCTGGCCTCCTGTGTTATGTGAGAGACAGACTTAATTTTTAAAAATATTTGATTAAAAAAATTATTAATATTTGTTGGAAATAATTTTGTAACTTAAGAGTTTAAGATGATTAGTCCTATTAAAATTAAATAGATGTTTTTTTAATAAGTAATTTACTTAATGCAAGATAATCATAACTACTCCCTCCGTATTTTAATAATTGTCGTTTTAGGATTTTCTTTTTTTTAAAATTAGATGTCGTTTTCAAATTTCAATGCAAAATTTCTTACTTTTTAATGTTTTATGACATCATAAAACATTAAAAAGTAAGAAATTTTGCATAGAAATTTGAAAACGACCTCCAATTCAAAAAAATAAAAATTCTAAAACGACAATTATTAAAATACGGAGGGAGTATTAGTTTTAGGGCTGGACAAAAAAAATCTAACTAAAATAATTGATGTAAATTGAATCTAAATTACATAATACAGTTATATTTTGCTTAAATCTTAAAATCCGTTTCGCTAGCATTACTAATAGAAGAATGGTTTAACTCTAGCTTATCTAAAAACCGTAACACGGAACATATTTTTCGCTTTTCAAATTTAATTTAAATATTTTTTATTAGCGTAATGATCTTTCCGGTAGACCGAAAACTTTGTCGCCTTGTTCATAGAACAATTCCGATAAAACTTATCCTCATGTTGCCGCCGGATTGATAGGCAGAAAATAAACCCCTAACATTTTTCATACGTAAGCATGTAAATAACTAAATGATAATAAATTTGAATTTTGATACAGACTATAATTAATAAGGTAAAAAAGCTACTAATCATTTAAAGAAGAAAAAAACCTCTATTAGTATCTCTGACTTGAAAGAAGAAAACTACGTATATGTGAAGCGAATGAAGTAACATAGCAATCCGTTGGTCACAAACTGAACTCTGAGAAGTAGTTGGCAGAAAGCAATTCGACTCCTCAAGCAAATGAGGATGATCAATGCCAAACTAGACATACAGTAGACACTTTTTGTCCTTTTATAGTTCATTTGATGCATCATAGGCTCAGAAATCTCTTTGTCACGAACTTGAGTCTGTAGCAGAATGAAGAGAGGTTGTTGGTGAAGTTGCAGGCAGAAAGCGATTAAACTCCGCAAGCAAATCCGTATGATCCCGAAATAAGATGGAAACCTGAGATAAACGTGTAAAAAACTAAGTAAAATATTAGGACTAAGATAAAAAAAAAATTAGTATCAGTCAATGAAAATGAGCCTACCTCATCGTAGACCTCGGTGAGGGACTTTAAATTTCTCTCATTTCTGTAGATGCTTAAAATGTCTAAAAATGATTTGTATGCACGACCGCCTTGAAACCTCGTCTGCGAATGAATAAGAATATTAAGGGGAGTATAGGAATGGGAAAATCAGTATTTTCCTTAGACAGTTTAGCACATAACATATTTACCTGAACCTTTGTAATAAAAGTAAGAGCATCCTTAAAATCGGGTTCCTTATGTGAAGGTTGTTCATGATCATCGGGTAGGAGTGTGATCCTAAAACCCTTTGGCAAGAAGGTATTGAAACCCAAAAGTAACTCTTTGTGCTCTTTCAAGAGTTCTTTCATCCTTATTATGACATCAAGTTTATCAACTCTACAACACAATTCGGTAATCAGTTCTCAGAAACCATGGAGTATTATCCAGACCAAGACCAAAACCAAACATAAAAGTAGAATGAACTTCACCTCCGAAGTTTAAAATCCTTCATGATGTCAAGAAATTCGTCATATTTTTCACGTTGATCCTGAAATAATTTAGCCTTCACAGCTTTAAGGTATGCAAGCGCGACATTTGTAGTAGGCTTGTGTGCGCCTCCATCTCCAACCATGGTTTGAAGTTTAGGAAAGCTTTCTTGTCCAAAGAGAGGCAGCCAAAAAAAGGTGAAACATTATTAGAATCAAACTAACATTATTATATAAAGTCTTTTAACATCTCAAAAGATTGTACAAGGTTTCTTCAAAAAATGATTAGATCCTTGAATAACCCAAAGTCTTAAAAACAAAAAAAAAATCATTCCTAAAAGATACCATTATTAGTTATCACCCAAGTTTACTCGAGGAAAAATTTAGCATCAAACTGATGGGATTAAGAGATGATATTAATATCATTCTTCTATTTATGGACCACATGACACATAAACTAGTACACATGTGAATCAGTCAATTCAAACACATGGGCAAAACAATCAAACATATGTCTTATTCTCATTCTTAACCAAAGATATACCAATTAAGAGCTAGTCATAGTATTAAGTTTTATGGGATTTAGAGATTAGCTTAACACTTTTCTTCCGAATTGAACAAAACAAAAATCATTGACTTAGTTTTGAGGGTTCAAGTTGATTAAACTTTTATCAGTCGGGTTTGATAATTTATCACATATACGAAAAATATATTCAACGAACTCAATTTGGTTATCATCCCACGAACACAACAAGGCAACAGACCTAGCAACTACAAAAGCAATGAACCAGAGAATAAAATTACTTGTAGTGGACGTAACGAAAATCACACAAAAAAGAAGATGATGACATGTGTATTAGTGTATATAGTTACCGAGTTTCGGAGACGAATGAAGAAGGCTAGCTTCACGATCACGATCACGATCACGAAGCAGGAGAGACGAGTTTCTAGGAGAAATCTCTCGATAGGGTTTTGTTTTGTTTATGAATTATGATTCCTCAGGTTAGGTAAGATTTTCTATTTATATTTATAATTTCTTCTTCTTTTTTTCTTTTTTTTTTTCGTTTTGTTTTGGATTTGGTGCATTTTAATTAATTAAGTACTTCTTCTTTTTTTAACAACAATTAACTAAGTACATAACAAAACTAAAAATGAATTGTAATTTGTAAATGTTAATCTTTTTATATGTTTTTCAACACTAATTTTCTTAATTAGAGATATATACTACTACATTTTTTGGCGACTTCTACGGAAATATTAGATATATACTACTACTATCAGCAACTTTCTAACTATATAAAATAACTTTCATGTATTTATTTGATATATATTAAAAACAAACCAATTTCGGGAATGGTGTGGATCAACAACATCTAGTTTAGTTATAAAAAAAGAGGTAAAAGAATGTTAAATTCGACATAAACAAAATAAGGTTCTGAGAAGCTTTTTTCGAGTTTTGTGATACTTAGATTTTTAAAATTGAATATAATCGGCACGATCAAATTCAAATCTCATCTCATCTTGGTGAAACTAAAAAGCAAAGATTTAATAACAAAACACAAGTGCATGTCAGAAGCATCGAACTAAACTAAAACCTCTCTCTACAAAAGAAACTATACACTCCATTCTCGTTTATAAATACATCTCTCGTTATAATTGAAGTAGTAGTGATGCTGATGCTACAGGTTTCTTTTCGAAAAATCTGAGAAAGTCCTCAATCAAATCTTCATGATAGAAGAGAACATCAGTGACCTGCAAGACAATATTATAACCAAATCAAACCATGAGAAAAAAAAAAAAAAAAACACAAGTACAAAAAATAGCCCACCAAGAACGAACATACCTCCTCGCGCACCTTCTTTACCGACATCTTTCCCTCTTTATACATCTTCATTATCCCGCGAAATTCCCCCACTACATGAGTATCAAGTCTCTGAAACCGTGTCTGCGGATGGACAAATTTGTTCTAGTTAGCAAAAGAGGAGGAATAAAAAAAGATTTGGTGTTTCTATTTGTCATTTGTGTACCTTAAGATTGTTCATAAAATCCTTTGCAGCATCAAGTTTCTTTTTAGTACGAGCAGCTTTCTTAGCCTCAGGTGAAAGGAAGACATTGAAACCAAGAAGCAGATCTTGATGACCTTTCATGAGTTCCTCCACCCTTGCAACGACACTATCTTTATCGACTCTACAAAAAGAGACAAGTAACATCAGACTGAATTCACACAGTGTTTTGTTATGAAAATAAAACCAAAAGTAAAGAATCCATACCTATTATCGCGAACACCATTCAAGAGCTTGATAAACTCTACATATTTCGTAGGTTGATCATGAAATGTTTCCTTCACAGTATTAATGTATGAATGCGCATCTTCCACAGTTAGAGCCGGTGATACTCTTCTTGCAACCATTGTTTGAATCTAACTAACTAAACCTTTTGGTATCAAAAAGAAAGAAAGAGAACATTGTTCAGTAAAACAGATCACATCATTGAATACCTCCTCAACTATCTCAAAGCTATTATTACCACCTGAAGAAACAGAACCTAGAGTGCAGAAATCTTAATCTCTTTTATGATTTGCCTCAACACAGAATTTGAACAAGACATAACCTAATTCTCAAAATCCAAATAACTGTCTCAACCAAAATCAACAACAACTAATTCAACACTTAGAGGTCTTAGAATCTCAGTCTTAAACAAAAAAAATAAAAACTTAATCCACTAATTTAGAGTTTGTCATCTCTAATCTGTGATGAAATTCATCACAGAAACGAAATTAAATTCGAAATCATCCCATAAACTATAAAATCAAGCAAATAGGAGCCTGAAAGAAATTCTCTAACCCGAAACAAAATTCGCACAAAACAAAAGTGAGAAGAAAATGAGCGTATAGTTACCGAAATTCGAAGACGAAGAGCTTCGAGAACAAGCTTCCCTCGCTTACGACACACGATCACGAAGCAGGAGAAGAAATCTCTCTCTAGGGTTTTAGTTTCCGACACTTACGTTGGATTAAATAATTGAGGATTAGTGGAGTACATCAAAAGTACGATTAAAAAGAAAAAAAAGGATTTTTTTTTTGATTAAAAAATTAATAAGATAAGACTTTTTTTATTGATAAAAGTTAAATTAACTAAATTTATGAGAAAAGGGGAAAAGTATAAAAAAAGTGAAATGTAAATTTAAGTATAGGGAATTAGGGATGATCTAATGAAAACATAGAGATTTATGTTTAGCAACTTTGACTTTGACATAACATAACAATATATATATATATATATATATATATATATATATATGTATATATTAATTTGATATGATTAATGTTTTTTTTTTTGTCAACAATGATATGATTAATGTTTAGCAACTTCAGTATGTCTTATATAATACACCATCAGATTTGTAGGTTTTGTATTTTTTTTATTCAATAACTTAAGATTTTTTGTATGTAACACGAAATTTACAACAATTTTTAACACAAACTGCATTTTTTTTAAGCCGAACCAATGTAATCAGTGAACAGATAATCAGAAATACAATGAAGAATATAGTTATGATAAGATGAAATTTACAACAATTTATCCCCCCAAAAAAAAGAGTTATTAACTTATTATAAGATAAATTATAATATAGTTTTCATAATTAAGCAACTGGTTAAATGTTAAGCGGTTGAAGTAACATAGACATCCCTGCGTCACGAACTAAACTTTCTTGAGAAAAACCAGCCAAAAATGGAGCAAATTCCAAAAGCAAATCAGGATGCTCCCGAAATTGTATCGTAGTCTGAGAAAATAAACATGTTTATAAGACAAAATGGCTAAGAAAAGAGTATAGTAAACAAAATTTAAACTTTAGAATATAAATAATACGAATGGAAATAGTAACAAAGAACCTTACCTCATGGCAAACCTCGTTCATCGACTTGCTCCCACTTTTCAACTTCAATAAATTGTCGATAAAAGAATTGAATACATCGTTATTGTCGTCCTTAAACCTTTCCTGAAGTAATGTGAAATATTTTAGAAGAGAATAAGTAAGGAAAGAACACAAAAATAGTCATAGGGACATAAATATTTACCTTAACGTTAAAAAGAAACCTATACGCATCATCTACCTTTGTATTCTTTGTATCTCCTCCTCCTACTTCAGATGTAGTTTGAAGTTTGGCTAGACATTCATTAAAAAGTAGGTAACGTTTTCATTGGCATCAAATAGAATTGAAAGTCTTAAAACATTACTATCAATTTTTTTTTTCCGTCAATAAATCTTTGAAAAGGCCATAAGATATATATAATATTAATACGCTTATCCTGTAAAAATGTTACCTGTTGTTAGGTTTTGTATATCTTCTTCTCCTCCAGACATGGTTTGAAGTTTGGCTAGAGCTTCTTAAAAAAAAAATAAGGTTACGTTTTCATTAGCGACATTTAATTGAAAGTCTTACAACATTACTATACAAATTTTCCTCTTGAAAAAGCCATAAGCTATGAAAAGCTTATCTTTAAAAAGCAATTATTTGCTCCCAAAGAATTCTAATTATATAGAACACTAATGATGAATCACTTATGAATAACTTTTTAGAATCACTTTTAGAATCATGTACATATCACTTATAAGACAAAGGATTTGAAAGCAACTAACCGAAAAGAAAAAAAGGTATATCGTAGTCTAGTTGTTAGATGACGAAACTACAACAATTTTTAGAACGAGATTCACCAAAATTTAGAGAGATTTCTAAAAAATTATATATGCAAGGGCTTTTTGTTTTGTTTTTGGCAAACATATATGCAAGGGCTTTGTGTAACAGGTTTTATAGGTGTTTTCCTTCCTTTTTTTTGATTACTTTTGTTATACAGGTTTTATTATCTATGGTTTTATACTTACTTTAGTTATCTTAAGAATATTTTCTTGTATCTAATTGGTCTACTAGGCTAAACTTTTGAGTTTCTTTGACCTTTTTTGTTCACCAATCCTCTTAAAAATAAGATTGACAACCAAATAATGATAAGGTCCTAAATTATTTAGTCATTATTATCTACTTATAATTGGTAATTAATAGCCTAATAGGATAAAAAAATAATAATTATAAGTTAACCATATCTTATTCAAACTTTCTATGATAAAATTAATAAATACATTAATTTTTTTATGAATAACCCACCCTAATCCTAGTAATAGTTATAATAATAATAATAATAATCTATATATAATAGCAATCTAATAAATACCATTTGCACATCTGAACGGTTGCGTCTTTTTATCGCAACTTTTCGTTAATGTTTTTATTAATTAAAATATATATTTTACGGTTATGTTTTTTTTTTATAAATTACATTCTGAATGTTTCCTACGGTTGCGTTTTTTATTGTAACTCTTCATAAACAGTTGAAACCGCTTATTCGAATCATTGCAATATTTAGTTTATTTTACGAACAATTGCAACCTTTGGTTTATATATTTAGTTTATTTCACGAACAATTGCAATTTTTCGTTTATTTTATAAATAGCTATAACATTTAATTATCTACCGCCGCGTCTCTCGGTGTAACTTTTCATAAATTATTATTTTAATTCTTAATTTTTAATTACTAAAATGTATTTAAATGAGATTGTAACTATTTAATTGAACTGTTTCAACATTTAGATTATTTGACGAATTATTGCAACTTTTAGTTTTGTGTTACGAACCATTGTTATCTTTAGTATATTTGATGAATTATTGCAACATTTGGTATAATTGACGAACCGTTGCAGTTTTTGGAATATTTGATATCTACGGTTGCGTTTCTCGGATAAGTTCGTCATATTTTTTAAAAATATTTAAATACTAAAATATATTTAAATGAATTGTTGTTACCGTTTAATTTAACACAATAGCATTTGGTTTATTTGACGTCGAACGTTTTGGCTTATTTATCAAACCATTGTAATATTTGGTTTATTAGTTTATGTTTTTTGCACTTGGGAATAGTTTTTTAGTTACAAATTATTGTTTTTCTAATATTAATATACTTAATAAATGTTTGTGAGGGTTTTCTTTATCATAATTTTTGTAAAATATATATATTGATTTGTTATTAAAAAAATTCAAAATTATTACAATTCATTATGATTTTTTCGTTTGATATTTTTTTAAATGATTTTTGAAATATATTCCCCCGCGATATTGCGGGGGTCTTGAGTCCTAGTAAAAATAATAATAATAATAATAATAATAATAATAATAATAATAATAATAACCACAAATAAATTATTCGATTTAAAACAAATCTAAACCAAATCCCAAAACATCACCTCCCCTCTCATGCCCAAAAGTAATAATTAGATGATCTCCATCCAAAATGGTAAAAATGCATTGAAACCAGAAATCAAGTCTTGGTCTCCGTTAAGCAATTCCACCACCGCTCTTATGCAATCAGCCCTTCTAATTCTACAATGAGATTATAAATCAAAATTAATTACTTCTTTAACAAAAAATTGAACCAAACATTGTTTAATCATATTTTCCAAAAACTATATATATCACATACTTCCGAGTTTTAAAATCTTTCATGATCGCAAGAAAGTCTTCATATTTTTGTCTATCATTATGAAAATGATCCCTCACAGCCCTAACATATGCATATGCATCCTCTTTAGTTGGCTTCGGTTTGTCTGAATCAAAAAAACGTCCTCCATCCATGGTTTACAAGTGATCGAAGCTTTATTTTCCAAACAAAGAGAGTGATTATTTAATTATTTGATTTCACTAAAAAAAATTAATAATTGAATTTTTATTTCTATCATTCAAACACATTAACTTCTTTTCTTTAAAAGTAACTTTAAATTAAAAAAAAAGAGAGAAAAACAGAATTTTACATCACGGATCTTAATTAAAAATTACTAGAATTAAAAAAATAAAATACATGCAATGAACCATGCAGATTGCAAAGCACGAGAACATGACAATAATCAACTATAGATTATTTAAGTCAAAGAAGAATTGTTGAAAGACTTCGAAGAAACAAACCAGAAAATTGACTCTACGGGTATAAGCTTCACGAGTATGGAAATGAATAGTTTTGAGTTGTATGGGTGTCTTTATATATTAATAACCTTAATGAAATCAGTCTATTTGCAATTAACAGCTTTGTAGCAATGAGATATAATTGTTTTATACTAATTTTAAATGAGATAAACACATGTCAGTTGTAAATAAAATTAAAATTTCACATTTATTATAATTTACAGATTTTATGTAAATTTAGTGATAAACAATTTCAATTGTAAATCTTCATAAGCATCTGTCAAAGCTTATTTACTTGAACTTTTTCGAGAGTTTAAAATCACTTTTGTTACAATGTGGCATTTACTATTACAATTTTGTTTTTATAAAACAACACTTTAAATTATTTAGTTGATATACATTTTCTAAAAAAGTAGACAACATAAAACTCAAAAGTATTGATAGATCTGAAAATAACTGACAAGTCAGTTGTAAATAAAATTAAAATTTCACATTTATTATAATTTACAGATTTTATGTAAATTTAGTGATAAACAATTTCAATTGTAAATCTTCATAAGCATCTGTCAAAGCTTATTTACTTGAACTTTTTCGAGAGTTTAAAATCACTTTTGTTACAATGTGGCATTTACTATTACAATTTTGTTTTTATAAAACAACACTTTAAATTATTTAGTTGATATACATTTTCCAAAAAAATAGACAACATAAAACTCAAAAGTATTGATAGATCTGAAAATAACTGACATATTTATCTAAAATTTTTACTTTCTTAGTTTTTGTAAAAATAAATTTCTTTTTCTGGTTAACAAAAACTAGTAAATTTACTTTATAAAATGATTCGTAATAAATAAAATACGCCATCTTTTGGTTTAAGTTATAGGTATTTAATGTGTAAATTTTATTTTCTTTTGTGTTACGAATTTAGGATTATCAAGATTTAGTTTTAAGTAATTTAAGCAGAGCAAAGAGGTGCTCTTATTTTTTCACATAAAAAAACAAAAAAGAAATAATAGACAAGACCCAAAGAAATATCAATATAGTTTTTTTACCAAAAAAAAAATATATATATCAATATAGCATTTTGATGATGTTCTGTTCTCTCTTTAGACGAAGAATCAAACTAAACTCAAATGTATTACAAAAGAAAACTATAACACTCCTCGTTAGAAGCTCTACTCTTTTCTGTCACATTATATTCAAGCATATTTAGGCTGAGACAGTTTATCACTGAAATATTCACCAAACTCCATGATTAAATCTACATGACCCTGAAGAAGTGCAACGACCTGCAAAAGATAACAAAGAGCAGATCAAACCAAAGAACTAAGAAAGTGAAACACACAAAGTGTCGCACCAAGAACCCTACCTCATGATACGCCTCATTTTTGGACTTGTTTCCCTCAATAGTGTACATCCTCAATATCTGGAGAACTGATTTAACTACATGACCACCATCACCCTGAAACCTTGCCTGCACATGGACAATTTTGTTACTTAAACCGCAAGTTAACATATAGTAAACATCAAAATGGTATTTCCATTAGTTTACCTCAAGATTCTCCATAAAATTGGCATTAGATTTTGACCCTGATGGATCAGTGGGTTTTTTTTAAAACGTCTGCAAACTCCATGACTAAATCTTCATGACCCTGAAGAAGTGCAATCACCTGCAAGCAAAGATAACAAAGCAAATCAAACCAAAGAACTAAGAAAGTGCAACACACACACAAAGTGTCCCACCAAGAACCCTACCTCCTGATACAAGTCATTCACGGACTTGTTTCCTTCTTGGTACATTGTCAATATCTCGAGAAATGACTCATATACATGACGATCATCCCCCTGGAACCTTGCATGTACATCGACGAATTTGTTACTTAAATCACAAGTTAGCATAGAGAAAACATCAAAATAGTATTTTCCATAAAATTGGTTTACCATTTTAGCATCCTATACCTTAAGCTTGGTGATGAAATTTGCTACACGTATTCTTTTGTTATTATCAGACGCAGCCCGTTGCTCAGCTTTGGGGGAAGTGATGGTTATCGTAGACAGTTTAGCATATTTAGGCTGAGACAGTATATCACTGAAATATTCGCCAAACTCCATGATTAAATCTACATGACCCTGAAGAAGTGCAACGACCTGCAAAAGATAACAAAGAGCAAATCAAACCAAAGAACTAAGAAAGTGAAACACACAAAGTGAGTGTCGCACCAAGAACCCTACCTCATGATAGGCCTCATTTTTGGACTTGTTTCCCTCAATAGTGTACATCCTAATTATCTGGAGAACTGAGTTAACTACATGACCACCATCACCCTGAAACCTTGCCTGCACATGGAAAATTTTGTTACTTAAATCACAAGTTAACATATAGGAAACATCAAAATGGTATTTCCATTAGTTTACCTCAAGATTCTCCATAAAATTGGCAGCACGGTTTCTTTTGTTATTACTAGACTCAGCACTACCACCATGCTCATCATCTGGAGGGATGGTTCTCTTAGCCTTTGGAATGAAGAAGGGTAATTTATCAGATTGATAATAATAACAGATTCATAGATCACAAGCTAGCAAAAGAGAATCATTCATCATTTTAGCAAATTCTGTACCTTATGCTTGTTCACAGAATACTTGGGAAAGAAGACACCTAAACGAAGAAGCAGATTTGGGTGCCCTTTAATGATTTCAGCCATCATTTCACTGCCATTAGCTTCATCGATTCTACAAAAGAGAATAATAACATCAGAAAACAATTCAAAATGCGTGTAGATTCGCAGTTGAAAAATTTAAAACTAAGAACCAAACCAAACGTAAACAATTCATACTTATGATCACAAACATCACAAACTCGTCAAACTTTGCAGGTTCATCAAGAAATGCTTCCTTCACATCAGCGATGTATGTAACCGTTTCACGCATAGTTGTTCGTTCTCTTTCATGAAATGCTTTCTCCGTAGAAGCGATATTTAAACGATCATCATCCATAGTTAGCTTCAGTAATTCTCTTCTTCCGATTAATGGAGATCTCTGTTCGTTAAAAACAGAGCAGATCATCATCAGTCGATCTCTCTAATATCTTACAAAAAGACTTTTGAGAGACTAGAAAGAAAGCACACTTGCATTGAACGAGAACATGACAAATCAAGATTACATTCTAAAACTAATCAACCCAATCATTGGATTCAACAAATCAATGTCACGAACTCTTCTCTAGACGAAACAAGTATCTTTAGAACAACAAGAAACTAGAAAACATTCAAATGAGAAATCGAGAGAGGATTTGAGAGTAATGAACCAGAAAACTAGATCATTAACCTAATCGTCAGATGATTTCAAAGAGGAACGGAAGAAGAAGAAGAAGATGGTCGTATAGTTACCAAACGAGCAAGAAGCTTCCTCTTCGCAGTGGAAACGACTTCAAGATTTCAAGAAACAAATTCACTGAAACTGGTTTGAGTTTTATTCGCAGTGTTATTAAATATGTCATATTACGAGCCCATTTTTTATCACCTTTTAAAACAGAAAAGTTAGTAATTAAAATGATTTAATAGTTAGTTGGATTAGATTGTTTAATTAAATAATTAAGTCTTGTAGCCTTATCTTTAGTTTTACTTTTGAGGATTTAGAGGACTTACCTATAGAAGCATATAATATACATGTCATGATATTCAAATAGAGTATGAATCAAACTAAACTCAAATCTCTACAAAAAGAAACTGTACATTCTCTTCTCGTCGTCGCTATACACAAAACAATTATAGAGAATGGTGTTCTCTAACTATCGTTATCTACATATTCAGTTCTACACATCATAAAAGGGACAGTGAATTATGAAACTTTAGTCTCAAACTATCTACTGAAGTAGTACTAGTAGAGATGTTGATGCGAAAGGATCCGAGTTTAGGAAAGATTCTGGAGAAGTCCTCAATCAGATCTTCATGATAATAGAGAAGATCATCGTTATTATTAATTTTTGTTTGATATTTTTTTAAAGATTTTTGAAATATTTTCCCCCGCGACATCGCGGGGGTCCGGAGTCCTAGTAATAATAATAATAATAATAATAATAATAATAATAATAATCTATTAATAATAATAATAATAATAATAATAATAATAATAATAATAATAATAATAATAATAACCACAAATAAATTCTTCGATTTAAAACAAATCTAAACCAAATCCCAAAACATCACCTCCCCTCTCATGCCCAAAAGTAATAATTAGTTGATCTCCATGATCTCCATCCAAAATGGTAAAAATGCATTGAAACCAGAAATCAAGTCTCGGTCTCCGTTAAGCAATTCCAGCACCGCTCTTATGCAATCAACCCTACTAATTCTACAATGAGATTATAAATCAAAATTAATTACTTGTTTAACAAAAAATTGAACCAAACATTGTTTAATCATATTTTCCAAAAACTATATATATCACATACTTCCGAGTTTTAAAATCTTTCATGATCGCAAGAAAGTCTTCATATTTTTTTCTATCATTATGAAAATGATCCCTCACAGCCCTAACATATGCATATGCATCCTCTTTAGTTGGCTTCGGTTTGTTTGAATCAAATAAACGTCCTCCATCCATGGTTTACAAGTAATCGAAGCTTTATTTTCCAAACAAAGAGAGTGATTATTTAATTATTTGATTTCACTAAAAAAATTAATAATTGAATTTTTATTTCTATCATTTCAAACACATTAACTTCTTTTCTTTAAAAGTTACTTTAAATTAAAAAAAAAAAAAAAAAAAAAAACAGAATTTTGCATCACGGATCTTAATTAAAAATTACTAGAATTAAAATAAAATAAAATACATGCAATGAACCATGCAGATTGCAAAGCACGAGAACATGACAATAATCAACTATAGATTATTTAAGTCAAAGAAGAATTGTTAAAAGACTTCAAAGTAACAAACCAGAAAAAAAATCATTTAAGAAGAAACAAACCAGAAAATTGACTCTACGGGTACTTCACGAGTAGGAAATGAATAGTTTTGAGTTGTATAGGTGTCTTTATATATTAATAACCTTAATGAAATCAGTCTATTTGCAATTAACAGCTTTGTAGCAATGAGATATAATTGTATTATACTAATATTAAATGAGATAAACACATGTCAGTTGTAAATAAAATTAAAATTTCACATTTATTATAATTTACAGATTTTATGTAAATTTAGTGATAAACAATTTCAATTGTAAATCTTCATAAGCATCTGTCAAAGCTTATTTACTTGAACTTTTTCGAGAGTTTAAAATCACTTTTGTTACAATGTGGCATTTACTATTACAATTTTATTTTTATAAAACAACACTTTAAATTATTTAGTTGATATACATTTTCTAAAAAAATAGACAACATAAAACTCAAAAGTATTGATAGATCTGAAAATAACTGACAAGTCAGTTGTAAATAAAATTTCACATTTATTATAATTTACAGATTTTATGTAAATTTAGTGATAAACAATTTCAATTGTAAATCTTCATAAGCATCTGTTAAAGCTTATTTACTTGAACTTTTTCGAGAGTTTAAAATCACTTTTGTTACAATGTGGCATTTACTATTACATTTTGTTTTTATAAAACAACACTTTAAATTATTTAGTTGATATACATTTTCTAAAAAAAGAGACAACATAAAACTCAAAAGTATTGATAGATCTGCAATTAATTGACATATTTATCTAAAATTTTTACTTTCTTAGTTTTTGTAAAAATTTAATTTCTTTTTCTGGTCAACAAAAACTAGTAAATTTACTTTATAAAATGATTCGTAATAAATAATATACGACATCTTTTGGTTTAAGTTATAGGTATTTAATTTCTTTTGTGTTACGAATTTAGGATTATCAAGATTTAGTTTTAGGTAATTTAAGCAGAGCAAAGAGGTGCTCTTTTTTTTGCACATTAAAAAAAAAAGAAATAATAGACAAGACCCAAATTCTTCTGAGGTAACAAAGAAATATCAATATAGCATTTTGATGATGTTCTGTTCTCTCTTTAGACGAAGAAATCAAACTTAACTCAAATGTCTTACAAAAGAAAACTATAACACTCTCTTCTCGTTAGAAGCTCTACTCTTTTCTGTCACATTATATTCAAGCATATTTAGGCTGAGACAATTTATCACTAAAATATTCGCCAAACTCCATGATTAAATCTACATGACCCTGAAGAAGTGCAACGACCTGCAAAAGATAACAAAGAGCAGATCAAACCAAAGAACTAAGAAAGTGAAACACACAAAGTGTCGCACCAAGAACCCTACCTCATGATACGCCTCATTTTTGGACTTGTTTCCCTCAATAGTGTACATCCTCAATATCTGGAGAACTGATTTAACTACATGACCACCATCACCCTGAAACCTTGCCTGCACATGGACAATTTTGTTACTTAAACCGCAAGTTAACATATAGTAAACATCAAAATGGTATTTCCATTAGTTTACCTCAAGATTCTCCATAAAATTGGCATTAGATTTTGACCCTGATGGATCAGTGGGTTTTTTTAAAACGTCTGCAAACTCCATGACTAAATCTTCATGACCCTGAAGAAGTGCAATCACCTGCAAGCAAAGATAACAAAGCAAATCCAACCAAAGAACTAAGAAAGTGCAACACACACACAAAGTGTCCCACCAAGAACCCTACCTCCTGGTACAAGTCAGTCACGGACTTGTTTCCTTCTTGGTACATTGTCAATATCTCGAGAAATGACTCATATACATGACGATCATCCCCCTGGAACCTTGCCTGTACATCGACGAATTTGTTACTTAAATCACAAGTTAGCATAGAGAAAACATCAAAATAGTATTTTCCTTAAGATTGGTTTACCATTTTAGCATCCTATACCTTAAGCTTGGTGATGAAATTTGCTACACGTATTCTTTTGTTATTATCAGATGCAGCCCGTTGCTCAGCTTTGGGGGAAGTGATGGTTATCGTAGACAGTTTATCATATTTAGGCTGAGACAGTATATCACTGAAATATTCGCCAAACTCCATGATTAAATCTACATGACCATGAAGAAGTGCAACGACCTGCAAAAGATAACAAAGAGCAAATCAAACCAAAGAACTAAGAAAGTGAAACACACAAAGTGTCGCACCAAGAACCCTACCTCATGATACGCCTCATTTTTGGACTTGTTTCCCTCAATAGTGTACATCCTAATTATCTGGAGAACTGAGTTAACTACATGACCACCATCACCCTGAAACCTTGCCTGCACATGGAAAATTTTGTTACTTAAATCACAAGTTAACATATAGGAAACATCAAAATGGTATTTCCATTAGTTTACCTCAAGATTCTCCATAAAATTGGCAGCACGGTTTTTTTTGTTAGTACTAGACTCAGCACTACCACCATGCTCATCATCTGGAGGGATGGTTCTCTTACCCTTTGGAATGAAGAAGGGTAATTTATCAGATTGATAATAATAACAGATTCATAGATCACAAGCTAGCAAAAGAGAATCATTCATCATTTTAGCAAATACTATACCTTATGCTTGTTCACAGAATACTTGGGAAAGAAGACACCTAAACGAAGAAGCAGATTTGGGTGCCCTTTAATGATTTCAGCCATCATTGCACTGCCATTAGCTTCATCGATTCTACAAAAAGAGAATAATAACATCAGAAAACAATTCACAATGTGTGTGGTATTTATATATGATCGGATATGTTGGTTTCCACATATTCACAATTAATAGTCACCATATATTCTTAACAAAACAATATATCTAAGTTGGTGTATGTAAAGCTTTCTCATAATTCTTTCAACAGTTTTGGCAAATCATTGCAAGTTATCGATGGAGGGACGTTAACACAATTGGATCTTGCTTCAAATTCACTCCAAGGACCAATTCCTCAATGGATCTGCAAGTTAAGAGCTTTAGAGAAGTTAGATTTGTCAAACAACCATTTCACTGGTTCCATCCCTCAATGTTTCAAGAATTTCACTTCTCTTGGAGATCTATTCCTGCGAAACAACAGTCTAAGTGGATTTCTACCAGATATATTCACCAACTACACATTGTTGAAATCATTTGATGTCAGCCGCAATAATTTTGTGGGGATGCTTCCAAAATCTTTGATCAGTTGCGAGAAAATGGAATTTCTCAACGTGAAAGGAAACAAGATCAAGGACACGTTTCCATTTTGGTTGGGATCTCTACAAAACTTCAAGATTCTTCTGCTCCGATCAAATGCATTTTATGGTCCAATCTACAACTCTTCTGCTTATTTAGGGTTTGGAAGAATAAGGATCATTGACATATCCGACAACAACTTCGTCGGATCATTGCCACAAGACTATTTTGCCAATTGGACAACGACTGAAATGTCAAATGTCAAATATATATCTTACGGAGCCCTAGAGGGTCCATACAGTGCTCCCCAAGATTCCATGGATTTGGTGTATAAAGGAGTAGACATGAATTTTGATCGGATCTTTAACGGCTTAAAGATTATTGATTTCTCTGGGAATCGATTCTCGGGAGATATCCCTGGATCCATTGGTGTATTGAGCGATTTTCGTCATCTCAACTTGTCAGGCAATGCATTCACAGGCAATATCCCACCATCTTTCGCGAATATTACAAATCTCGAGTCATTAGACCTATCACGAAATAACTTGTCAGGTAAGATTCCTCAAGGTCTCGGGAAGCTTTCGTTTCTGTCCAACATCAACTTCTCCTACAATCGTCTTGAAGGATTGGTGCCACGGAGCACACAGTTTCAAAGGCAAAATTGCTCTTCATTTGTTGGTAATCCTGGGCTATACGGCCTCGAGGATATTTGTGGAGAAATCCATCATGTTTCCGTTCCTACATCTCAGCAACCCGAGGAATCTTTGTTGGAGCAGGAAGAGCCAGTGCTGAACTGGATAGCAGCCGCGATAGCATTTGGACCTGGTGTGTTTTGTGGATTAGTTATCGGACGTATCTTCACTTCATACAAACACAAGTGGTTTATTATATCTCGTTAAGCCCATCTATCTCGCGGTTTCGTCAAGTTTGTACTCCGGTAACCTAGTTCGCTAGGTGTTCCTTCTTTGTAATTTTCTTTTTATTAGTTTTCTTATAAACATTGTCAATGTTATAAGCTTTAATGTTTTCGCAGTTTTGTGTAATATGGTCCATGTTAGTTGCCTATGTTTCTCAGTTCTTAAATTAAAAGCTTTAACAAAGTGTCTTGAAAATTATGTTTAATAGCCATATATTTATCTCTAGTTTGAGTCTAAAGAATCTTTATTTTAGTTGATTCAATAAAGAGGAGGAACAAATCAGATGAAGAATCTCTGTTCTCAAAATTTTCCAGAAACAGGGGAGGGGAGATAATCCAAAAAGTCCCCCGGCCACACAGTTATTTTTTATATACTACGTCAACTTCTTGTTACCGTTTTCTATATTTCTTTTGTGCACGGTCATGCAACCATGATACCTTCATTCTTCACGGTTAAATAGGGTGGAATCATTTCGAAGAACCTATTGATTTTGTGGAATACATCATCTTCTTCTAAGCTAAACTGCATTTAGCAAAATTTCTTAATGTCGACATGAACGACGATGAGAAAGTTCAATAATTGAAAGTCGCACCTCATATGCTCGACCTATAGAGAAAGAGACAGTACAAGTCGTTCACGAGTGGAAAATTATTTCTAAATCTAACTTTTTTTTTTTGAATGAAAATAACTATCCTCATTTTGAATTAAAATTAGCTTTTGTGCTAAGAAAAAATTTTCACTAAAAGAAAAGGGACGTAAGATAAGGTCAACCAAAAAAAACAAATTATTCCACAATTTTCCTACTGTAATGCATAGGAAGACTTGCCAAGTCAAAGTCAAGCTCCTTGCATAGAAGTGAGTTTTATGCCTATCACTTACCATTCAACAAACAAAATATCTTTGTTTCTCAAAAAAAGAAATTTTGAGACGATGATTCGAAGCCAATCGTATTGCTTTCTTGGTATTTTTCTTACTATCTATTTCGTCTTTTGCCTTCTTCCGTTACCAAACACCTTTGCTTCTACCACACGGTCCTTGTGCCGCCACGACCAAAGAGATGCACTTTTGGAGGTACAAAAGGAGTTCACGATCCATTCCAGCGACGAGCAGCATGTAACAACAAGTACATGGAACAAGAGCGTTGACTGCTGTTCTTGGGATGGTGTAACGTGTGATAACTTGGGAAAGGTGATATCACTAGAACTCATTTCCCGTAGTACTCCATATTCTAAAAGAGATATTGATCGTTTATATGGTTGACACAGTAGAGAGAGAGAGAAATAAAGTTAAATCAACAAATCCTTGATACAAAACAACATTTAAAATATGTATAATAATGATTTGTTGTGATATTCTAATAAGATCTAATATTTATGTTAGCGCAACTAATTATGAGTCCTAGGTCGACACCCGCGCTACGCTGCGGGGCTCTTTTAGATATATTTTTTTCCCGAAAAAGTTGTTTGAATCAAATGGTTTTTAGAGGACAATATTCATGAGATGAATGCATCAAATGTTTACGTTGCAGATAATTTTCGTAAATTAATTTTGTCTTAATTTTATATTTGTTTGTTTTTATTTTATATTTTAGTATATGTTTGTTTTTATTTTATATTTTAGTATATGTTTAACTTCTTACAAATGTTAGATTTATTTTTATACTTTAAGAACCTTAGATTCTTTATGTTAACGATATTTATGGTACACAAGCATACTTTGAAATTTTGAATCATACTATAAATATTTAACATGTCTTTTTTTTTTTAAGAAAAAAATCTTTTTTAATCATTAGATCACAATAATTAGCTACTAAAAATTATATAGATACCAAAGAAAAAAATTATAAATGTATTGTGGGAAGTTCATCTTAGATTACTGGTTTAAAATTTTAACCAGAATGATATAGGATCTTCTTCCCTTGTTTTTTTAGCTAAAATTCTTCTTTCCTTGTTGCAGTAGTTGTAGCTCCAAAGACAAATTTACGAAAATGTTGCAAGATTAGCTATGTCCAATACGTGAAACAAAGGACATAGAACATTGAACACTATAAACAATTTTTTAACTATAAAATAATTTGATTTTCGAATTAGATGGGATCAATATGATTATTATCAACCATGCATTTTTCCTTGTACGATTAATTCAATGTCAATTTGGGAGTATTTTATAGACCCAATCTGATCCGATAGTAACACCGGTCTGACTACAATCGATTTAGTCACCGGTTCAAGATTTATTATATTTTATATTAAAATAATAATTGTGGTCTTCTTCTTCCCCTTAACCTCCTCTCATTATTTCCAAAGCCTCTCCAATCATCTTTCTCAATTGTAGATATGTGTAAGCTCTTGTTAGACCTTCGTGTAAGTAACATTTTCATTGTTGTCTCGTCTTTGACTCTGTTAGACAAAAGTAAAAATAACTAATAGTATTTAATATAAATAAACAATTTTTACTAAAATTAAAAGATTAAAAGCTCCCAACAAAATATAAAGATTTAATTATTTAAATTAATACATATAATCACAAATTCACAATTAAAGCAAAGAAAATAGAAAAACCTATCTTTTAGCGATGTGATTTTGTTCAATAAAATATAATAATATGCATAGTATTAGTGAGTGAGTGATTAAACATAAATGAGAGGAAAAACAATTGAACACGTCAAAAAGAAATAAACGAATTGGGCTTGGTAACTAAACCAAATTGGGCCAATAGGAAAAACTAAGAAAATAATATGTGGAGAGAGAGAGTATGACGTGGATCAGAGAAGTATTATTACTGGAATAGAATGCTTAGTTGTATTAATCGAAATGTTCTCATTGGATGACAATTTTAATGAGGTGTCAGCTTGTAAACATCCAAAAACGCTGAGGTGTCGGATCTGGAGAGATCCTTATTGTTATTATTGTATTGATATGGCTATGAATACTCTAAACTCATCATGAATTCAGTTTCGTATTTATTGCAAACAATTTATCTGTTTTTTTTTTTTTCATTTCTCCTAAAAAATCAATTAGAACTCTAAAGAGAGTTTCTAGAATCACTAGTCTCGTTCCATGTCTTTCTTCATATTCGATTCCCCATTCGTCGTTTATTGTGTCTCACCACAGAAGCAAAACAAAGTCTATAGTATATTATAAGATTGAATAAAATTGTTTTAAATTGAAGCGAGGGTTATTGATGTTGGACCATTGGAGATGTAATTTAGTAATATAACTTATATGACAACTTGAAATTAAAACAATACCACTAACTAATAAGAGAGACGGTACATGAACACTCTGTAGTAGATTCATATGCGATTTGATGTCCCCACTAAATTAAGGATAACTATGATAAAACTTAGTAGATTCATTTATAATTAGTGCACTTAACAGTTAGTAATATTCAATTCCTGGTGGAATCAATAATAAGTACTGATCAACTTGCTAATTAAAGGTAAGAAAGATTTGTTATTTTGAACGGTATAGTTAGGGGTGTCAAAATGGTCAAGATTCATGGGTCAACCAAAACTCAACTAAACCCATGAACCCTAATGAGTTGAAAATTTTGACTCAAATGAGTTGATGGATCAAATGAGTTATTGAGTCAAATGGGTTGATGGATCAAATGAGTTGGGTTGTAATGGGTCAGTGGTTTCAATGGTTTACCCATTTAACCCATCAATTTTTGTTAAATTGAATCAAACCAATTCAAATCTCTAAACCGATTTCAATTTGAGTCTAACCAAAACTTCTAAACCGATTGAATATAGTCCTTAATTTTCCCGCCAAAAATGTAAATACACAATTTTTCCATCAAAATATAAATTCGTGATTTTTCCGCCAAAAACGTAAATCCGCAATTTTCCAGCCAAAAACGTAAATCCGCAATTTTCCAGCCAAAAACGTAAATCCGCAATTTTCCCGCCAAATTTTTTTATAATTTTTAACCAAAAACGAAAATATGTAATTTTCCCGCCAAAAACGTAAATCCGTGATTTTCCCGCTAAAAACGTAAATCCGTGATTTTCACGCCAAAATTTTTTATAATTTTTAGCCAAAAATGAGAATGTAAAATTTTCCCGCCAAAAACGTAAATCCGTAATTTTCCCGCCAAAAACGTAAATCCGTGATTTTCCCGCCAAATTTTTTTATAATTTGGAAATCATATATTTTTGTTACATCTTATTAGAATATCACAACAAATCATTATTATTGGTTCTTATATTGATAACATAAATAAGACTTATTATGTCTAATCAATAATCATACACAAATGTAACAAAAAATAAGCCAAGATTTAGAGTGAATTAGGTATACGCCAACAAAATTCAGAAATAGCAATGGCGTGACTAATTTTCATCAAATAGTACTGCATGCAGTGATTTTATTTTCAATTTTGTCACTAGTTTAAAATTTACAGGAAACATGAATTTTTCTGTAACTTTTTATTTTTTATGTTCAAATTTAAGCTCTAACAAAACTAAACCGTAAACCCAAAAATTTAAACTCTAACCTCTGTTTAATAAATTAGATGTCTTCTCATTGTTATTATTTAACTGTACCTTATTTCCATAGAGTCTTTAACTACTCTTATCTCTATATTAAGTTTAATAAGGTATACAATGCTCTAGTTGTGAATCAGACAAGAGCAATTTCATGTGATGAAAGCCTAGGCCTTTGCAAAAAATGTGACGAAAGATGCAAGGCCAAACACGGACCATCATGCATAAGCAAATGTGACGGAGAGGTTGGGATGTTGTCGTGCACATGCACTTACGAGTGTGGACCACCTTTACCCCCCAAAAGAAACGTTTGCAGCGGTGGGACTGGTATGTGCAGTGGGAATTGTCCTGATCAATGTTGTGATACCAACTGCGCACAAAAGTATAATGGTGGACGTGGATTTTGTAACTCCCTTGGTAATTATAATTTGTGCCAATGTGAATACCCTTGCTAAAACAGGGTAACAGAATTTGTAAACCAGTTAATTGGCTTTGTTTTGTTATTATAAGTTCAGTGATATTATAGCTATAACTTTTATATGATTTGATATCAAGACATTTAAGGTTCTTAAATAACGTTCTAGAAAGTATTTTTGTTTCAGAATAAGTCGTGTTTATAAATTCCATTGATTTTGTTATTCTCTTTTTTGTCGACAACTTAAATTAAAGGTCAAAAGAGTCATTCCTGGGAAATGTTGTTTACATATGTGATATGAAGCGGTTCGGTACGAACAACTGATTTTGTTATTCATAAATACATATTTTAACCCTACTCAAAATGACATTTTTTAATGAAACAAGAAGAGTAGTAAAAATCAAAAGCTACGTAAAAATTAACAGAAACATTAAGTAAGCTCTTTACCGAATGCAATAAACGTCCATAATGTTGATTAATCACACCTTAGGTATTGACGAGTTTGATGACTATACATAACATGATAAGATCGACAGTAAAAGTATGTTTAATGTTAATGCCTTGTTTCTTCATTTTCCTTTATAGCACCAATTATTTAGACACCATGTAAGACAAAGACTTTTGACAATAACAAAAAAAAAAAATCTAAAAAAGATGGGAAAAATTATTTAAATGAATAACGGAGTAGGACAAGCTTGAAATAGAATTGATTACTAGTCACTTGACTTGTCGAACTTTCTAATTGTCTTCAATAACTAATTTAACATTATTTGTGTAACAACAATGCAACCAAATTTCTTAGTATTGTCAATGAAGCTAGGTTATATTTGCATTTAATGTGGAAGTTCTGCTCTAACTCAAGCAATTTGGATTGTTAATAAAGAAAACGATTTATTGAGACGTTCATAAACAATCCTTCATGTATTAATTAAGAGAAATGATACATCGCAATATCGCATACTTATTCTGAAATACAAAAGTTAAGGAAACAGAGAAGAGATTAAAACATTAAAACTCACTGAACTCCACAAAATGTCATTCTTACCAATAAAAAAACATTGATCTTATCTTGTTCTTCTTTCTTCCACCATCAAAATTTATCGAACCTAAACCAAACAAATCCCCCGAAGGAACCATATCAAGAAATGAGCTCACCCTAATTACACCTCCATTTCCCTTGTAGTTGTAAGCTCCATGGTTCTTCTTCAATATCGGTTTCGGAACACTACCGTTTAAAGAAGAAGAATAAGAAGAATAAGAAGAACAAGAAGAAGACGAAACCTGACTCTTCATAGAATTCGAACCGGTCGAGTTATAAGGAAGTAATGGCAACTTTACCTCATCTTCTTGGTCACCGATTTCTTCTATTTCAAGAAACGATCAATATCTCTTTGTCCAACCAGTTGATTTAATTTTTGTTACAACTGATAATGGTTCTGGAATATCACAACAAATCCTTGATACATATTTTAAATGTTGATTTAACAATGTGTGATATTCTAACTGAACTATTTTAAATGTACCATAGCCATTTTCATACCAATTCATAGCTTTGTTACATCAGTTTTTGTCCTCAAGAATAATCCTTCTCACTAAATAAATAAATATTTGAGTGTGTGAATTCGACATCCACATTTTGGCGCCAGAAGGAGGGGACTGCCTTCATTTGATAAATCCAGGGAGTTCCGAGGCTGATGTTGTAAGCTGCCGGTTTATTAAAAACAACGAAGTCCACGATTTTCGACACCTTTCCGGCAAGGACTGGTAGCTTGATCGTTCCGAGAGACATGGCTGACTCACTTGTGAATGCTACTAAGGGAGATGGAGGTCCAACTATGTCTTCCCGACTAATTCACATTCTTTCAACCTTCGATGTTCGGAATGATGGATGGAGATGTTCCGAATGTGCCGAGTAGGCGGCCTTCTCCACCTCGTGGCTTCTTCAGGTCCCAAATTCGAGCTCCGTGTGCTTTGATCAAGGACCTTCCAGACAGAGATCAAGAAATCGCGATGCCATTCATAAAGGCGCTTGCGATTCAACACCAGAAGCTAACGCTGGAAAGGAGGAAACTCCGAAAAAAGATTCATCGAATGCAGCGCATGGTTACTGCGATATCGAGAGACCTTCACACCCTCAACTCCCACCCCGGAGATTGGATCGAGCTTGGAATCTCCGAATTTGCTCGCATTCCGGACTGTATGATGCTAATTCTTGACCTCGCTGGTCAAGGAGTTCAAGTGTTCTGCTCATCGAGAAGAATTTCCTAATTCGAAGTGCGTGTGTGACGACACTTCGTCTTATTTGCTTGTTACTAATAAAATTTTGTTTTATTTTATCATTGAAAATAGGAGTTCGATTATGCGAACGAACAAGGCAAATGAAGTTCGACTATGCGAATATACAGAAACTGGAAACAAAACAACATTTAAAATATGTATCAAAGAACTAAGAAAGTGAAACACACAAAGTGTCGCACCAAGAACCCTACCTCATGATACGCCTCATTTTTGGACTTGTTTCCCTCAATAGTGTACATCCTCAATATCTGGAGAACTGATTTAACTACATGACCACCATCACCCTGAAACCTTGCCTGCACATGGACAATTTTGTTACTTAAACCGCAAGTTAACATATAGTAAACATCAAAATGGTATTTCCATTAGTTTACCTCAAGATTCTCCATAAAATTGGCATTAGATTTTGACCCTGATGGATCAGTGGGTTTTTTTAAAACGTCTGCAAACTCCATGACTAAATCTTCATGACCCTGAAGAAGTGCAATCACCTGCAAGCAAAGATAACAAAGCAAATCCAACCAAAGAACTAAGAAAGTGCAACACACACACAAAGTGTCCCACCAAGAACCCTACCTCCTGGTACAAGTCAGTCACGGACTTGTTTCCTTCTTGGTACATTGTCAATATCTCGAGAAATGACTCATATACATGACGATCATCCCCCTGGAACCTTGCCTGTACATCGACGAATTTGTTACTTAAATCACAAGTTAGCATAGAGAAAACATCAAAATAGTATTTTCCTTAAGATTGGTTTACCATTTTAGCATCCTATACCTTAAGCTTGGTGATGAAATTTGCTACACGTATTCTTTTGTTATTATCAGATGCAGCCCGTTGCTCAGCTTTGGGGGAAGTGATGGTTATCGTAGACAGTTTATCATATTTAGGCTGAGACAGTATATCACTGAAATATTCGCCAAACTCCATGATTAAATCTACATGACCATGAAGAAGTGCAACGACCTGCAAAAGATAACAAAGAGCAAATCAAACCAAAGAACTAAGAAAGTGAAACACACAAAGTGTCGCACCAAGAACCCTACCTCATGATACGCCTCATTTTTGGACTTGTTTCCCTCAATAGTGTACATCCTAATTATCTGGAGAACTGAGTTAACTACATGACCACCATCACCCTGAAACCTTGCCTGCACATGGAAAATTTTGTTACTTAAATCACAAGTTAACATATAGGAAACATCAAAATGGTATTTCCATTAGTTTACCTCAAGATTCTCCATAAAATTGGCAGCACGGTTTTTTTTGTTAGTACTAGACTCAGCACTACCACCATGCTCATCATCTGGAGGGATGGTTCTCTTACCCTTTGGAATGAAGAAGGGTAATTTATCAGATTGATAATAATAACAGATTCATAGATCACAAGCTAGCAAAAGAGAATCATTCATCATTTTAGCAAATACTATACCTTATGCTTGTTCACAGAATACTTGGGAAAGAAGACACCTAAACGAAGAAGCAGATTTGGGTGCCCTTTAATGATTTCAGCCATCATTGCACTGCCATTAGCTTCATCGATTCTACAAAAAGAGAATAATAACATCAGAAAACAATTCACAATGTGTGTGGTTGTTGTGTAGATTCACAGTTGTAAAACTTGAAACTAAGAGCCAAACCAAACGTAAACAATTCGTACTTATGATCACAAACATCTTTGATGAGCTTGAGAAACTCGTCAAACTTTGCAGGTTCATCAAGAAATGCTTCCTTCACATCAGCAATGTATGTAACCGTTTCACGCATAGTTGCTCGTTCTCTTTCATGAAATGATTTCTCCGTAGAAGCGATATCTAAACGATCATCATTCATAGTTAGCTTCAGTGATATTCTTCTTCCGATTAATGGAGATCTCTGTTCATTAAAAACAGAGCAGATCATCATCATTCGATCCCTCTACTATCTAAAATAAAGACTTTTGAATTCACAGGAGACTAGAAGAAAGCAAAATTGCATTGAACGAGAACATGACAAATCAAGATTACATTCTAAAACTAATCAAGAACCAAATCAACCCAATCATAGGATTCAACACATCAATGTCACGAACTCTTCTCTAGATGAAACAAGATAAATATCGTAATGGAGGATTCATGTAATGTAAGTTTCATTTTCCAGACTAAAGATTCATGCAAGCATCTTTAGAACAACAAGAAACTAGAAAACATTCAAATGAGAAATCGAGAGAGGATTTGAGAGCAATGAACCAGAAAACTAGATCATTAACCTAATCGTCAGATGATTTCACATGAACGAAAGAGGAATTAAACGGAAGAAGAAGAAGAAGAAGAAGATGGTCGTATAGTTACCAAACGAGCAAGATGCTTCCTCTTCGCAGTGGAAACGACTTCAAGATTTCAAGAAACAAATTCAGTGAAACTGGTTTGAGTTTATATTCGCAGTGTAACTAAATATGTTATATTACGAGCCCATTTTTTTTTATCACTTTTAAAACAGAAAAAATAGTAATTAAATGATTTAATAATTAGTTGGATTAGATTGTTTAATTAGTTTTACTTTTGGGTATTTAGAGGACTTAATATGCCAACTTTTGTCGCTTAATATAAACTTTTGGGTAATATCTCATCAGTGAAATGAATTTAAAGGGTATGAATGTTAATAGAAGCATATAATATACATGTCATGATATTCAAATAGAGTATGAATCAAACTAAACTCAAATCTCTACAAAAAGAAACTGTACACTCTCTTCTCGTCGTCGCTATACACAAAACATTATAGAGAATGGTGTTCTCTAACTATCATTATCTACATATTATGTTCTACACATCATAAAAGGGACAGTGAATTATGAAACTTTAGTCTCATACTATCTACTGATGTAGTACTAGTAGAGATGTTGATGCGAAAGGATCCGAGTTTAGGAAAGATTCTGGTGAAGTCCTCTATCAAATCTTCATGGTAATAGAGAAGATCATAGACCTGCAAGATGTATTATATAACCAAATCAAACCGAGAATAAAAGAAAGAATTGCAACACAAAATAGTCCACCAAGAACCTACCTCCTCGTGCACATCCTTTACTGACTTCTTTCCTTCTTCATACATTTTCATTATCGAGCGAAATGACCCAACTACATGATTATCAATTCTCTGAAACCTTGTCTGCAGATCGACGAATATGTTATTTAATCTCACAAGTTAGCAAAAGAGGAAATATCAAGAAAGGTACCATCATTCTATGTACCTTAAGCTTGTTCATAAAATTCAATTCATCAGAGTGTGTAGGTTTCTCAGCCTCAGAAGGGATGGTTCTTCTAGCCTTTGGTGGAATGGTTATCTTAAACTTCAGAGGGATGGTTCTGCTAGCCTTGGGAGGGGTGGCTCTGTTAGCCTCAGGAAGGCTGGTTAGCTCATCAGCCTTGTGAGGAATTGTTTTTGTAGCCGCAGGCAGGAAGGCACTTAAACCAAGAAGCAGATCCCGGTGATCTTTCGTGAGTTCCTCCACCCTTGCAATGACACTGTCTTTATCGACTCTACAAAAGAGACTAGTGACATCAGAATCAATTCACATGTGTATTTGTTGTCTAGATTGAGACATGAAATTAAGAGAAACTCAAATATACATGGAGAAAATAATTCTTTACCTACGGGCTCTATAAGCATCCAAGAGCTTGAGAAACTCGGCATATTTTGCAGGTTCATCATGAAATGCTTCCTTCACGGAGTAGATGTATGAACGTGCATCATTGATAGTTTTCTTTGGTCGTACACTTTTTCCAACCATGGTTTGAAATTGGCTTAACCCTTTGTTCGCCTCAGGAGGGATGGTTTTGTTAGCCTCGGAGGGGATGGTTCTATCAGCCTTGGGTGGGATGGTTATCTTATCCTCGGATAAAAAGACTACCTCCTCGTGCAGCTCCTTTATCGACTTCTTTCCCTCATAAGTCTTTTCAGTCATTGTCGGAAATACAAGAGTATCAAGCCTTGTCTGCAGAACGATGAATTTGTCAAAATATAAATCAACAAGCTAGCAAAAGAGGAGATGGTATTTCCATAGGTTTACTCATCATTTTAGCGATTCTATACCTCAAGCTTGTTCATATGATTCTCTAAATCAGCACATTTCTTTTGATCACCATCAGACTCAGGGCGTTGCTCAGCCTTGGGAGGGATGGTTATCTCAGCCTCGGGCAAGAAGACTCTTGAACCACGAAGCAGCTTCGGGTACCCTCTAATGAGTTCAGTCATTCTTGCAATGACACTACCGTTATCAACTCTACAAAAAGAATAACAACATCAGAAAAAACAAATTCACAAGATGCTTGTTTTGTTGTGTAGACTCGCAAAGACCAAACCAAACATAACAATGAGAAAACAATTCATACCTATGATCACGAACATCATTCAGGAGCGCTTTAAAGTCGTGAAATTTTGCAGGTTCATCATGAAATGCTTCCTTAACAGAATCAATGAATGAAACTGCATCATCCAAAGTAGGCTCCGGTGATACTCTTCTTTCAATCATGGTTTGAATCTGTGAAGAAGCTAAACCATTGAATCTTTGTTCAGTAAAACAGAATCAAACCATTGAATACAAAGTTTTTATTTAGTAGAAACTTTCAAAATCCTTCAAGAAACAGAACCAAATTCAGAACTATCAATCTCATTCCTCAACAACTTTAATCCAAAACGACTAGATAATACAATTGCATGTTATCAAAACCCTAATCAGATACAACATTGGATTCGAGGCCTCAATGTCAAAATTAAGCGAACGCCAAGAGAATTTCATGTACAGCAACGAACCAAGAACTCGATCGTAAACCCTAATTGTCCTGACTCCTGAATACAAATTTCAATTGAACGAAAATCGAAAGAGGAACCAAGTATAATTACCGAATTTGGCAAACGAGCAAGAAGGTTCTTCTTCCCAAGAAGCTACTTCAAGGTTTCCAGAAGCAAACCCACAGAGAGAGACTGATGATTTGAGGTTTTAAAGCTTTTTTTTTTTTGTTATGGTAAAACGAGTTTTTTAAAGCTTTGTACAATACTAAAATCAAGAGCAAATGAGAAAATTAATGGACACATTATAGTATAATTTATTTTAATTTTTACTCCAAATTACATACGAATTGAGAAAAGCCATGCACATATTTAATTAGGGATGTAATTAATAAAAAGAAGTCCAAATATAACATAAAATTTAGTCGCTATTTTACACAACATATTTAAATTAGATATATAAAATATTTTGAGTATATATGTGATTAAGTAAAAACATGTTTCATAAAATCATATATGAATTTCATTAAACAAAATCACATAAGATTTACTAGAATTATCCGATTGACTACTAATTATATAAAATTTGTTGTCATTAGTTGATTTTTGTTTGGTTTTGCTCTGTACTTTTTGGCCACTTTATAGGTTTGAGGCTTTGAGCAAAGGCTCTGTATTGTTCCTCTCTGTTTTTGTTTGTACTTTGAACTAAGATGACCATGTCAGGAGAAACTATACACTCTCTTTAGTCTCTTATGCCCAATCATTGTACACCTCAAATATAGAAGCATATGTGCATATCATGATGTCATGTTCTTCTCTATAGAGTAAGAATCAAACTAGTCTCAAATGTCTACGAAAGAGAACTACACTCACTTGTCGTTAGAAAGAACAACTCTTTTTGTCTCTTTGAATATACCCCAAACATTATATTCAAAGCATCTTCAACTAAAGCAGAGACAGTCTTCTAATCTACTCATCTATCTCTAGCAGATTTTGACCCTGATGGATCAGTAGGTTTTTTTAAAACGTCTTCAAACTCCATGACTAAATCTTCATGACCCTGAAGAAGTGCAATCACCTGCAAGCAAAGATAACAAAGCAAATCAAACCAAAGAACTAAGAAAGTGCAACACACACACAAAGTGTCCCACCAAGAACCCTACCTCCTGGTACAAGTCATTCACGGACTTGTTTCCTTCTTGGTACATTGTCAATATCTCGAGAAATGACTCATATACATGACGATCATCCCCCTGGAACCTTGCCTGTACATCAACGAATTTGTTACTTAAATCATAAGTTAGCATAGAGAAAACATCAAAATAGTATTTTCCTTAAGATTGGTTTACCATTTTAGCATCCTATACCTTAAGCTTGGTGATGAAATTTGCTACACGTATTCTTTTGTTATTATCAGACGCAGCTCGTTGCTCAGCTTTGGTAGAAGCGATGGTTATCGTAGACCTAGCTGGAACGAAGACCCTGAAACCACGAAGCAGATTCGGGTGGCCTTTCAGGACTCTCTTTACCCTTGCACAGACACTTCCTTTACTATCTCTGTAAAGAGACAAGTAACATCAGAATAAGTTCACATGAGAAAATCAAATATAACATGAAGAACGACAATTCATACCCACGCCTAGCATCATTCAAGATCTTGATAAACTCTCGATATTTTGCAGGTTCATCATGAAATGCTTCCCTCACAGTATCGATGTATGAAACTGCATCATCGAAAGCTGGCTTTGGTGGTTCGCTTCTTCCAACCATGGCTTGAAATTGGCCTAACCCTTTGTTAGCCTCAGGAGGAATTGTTTTCTTAGGCTCAACTGCAAAGAAGGCATTGAAACGAAGAAGCAGATCCTGATGATCTTTCAGGAGTTCCTCCACCGTTGCAACGAGAGTAGGATAATCGATTCTACAAAGAGAATAATAACATCAGAATCAATTCTCACATTGAAGATTGTTTAAGAGCAAACCAAACATACCTATTAGCTCTTAAACCCTGCAGGATGTCGAGAAACTCTCGATATTTTGCAGGTTCATCAGCACCAAATGCTTCCTTCACATCATTGACGTATGACCTCGCATCATCAAGAGTAAACGCCGGTGATAAGCTTCTTCCAACCATGGTGTAAAATTAGCCTAATCCATTTTCCAAAGATAAAAGATTTTTGTTCATCAAATCATTGAAGAAACAGAACAAAGAGTGCATAAATACAAATCTTATTCCTCAAGAAACTTAATCCAACCTAGAGCGCTTTTTTTGACGAGACCAAACAACACATTTACCAAAAAAGGTCGATCTTTTAACCTAATCGTCTGATGATTTCGCATAAACGAAAAGGGAATTAAAAAGGAAGGAGTAGATGATCGTAACCCTAATCGTCTAGTGAATTCACAATGATAAATCGAAAGAGGAACCAAGTATGGTTACCGATTTTCAGCAGACCAAAGCGACAATGAACAACGAGAAGCTTCGTAAAACCTCAGAGACTTATTTGAGTTTTTTCATTCACGAGTCTTATATTTATAGTAGGGTTTATCATATTTGACTTCATTTTTTTTTTTGGAGTTGTAAATATTTGGAACTGAAATTTAATAAGATTTCTATTTATCAAAGACGATGATGATGTTTTTTATTATTAGAATGCAGATATTTGTATTAATTTTAATCCTTCATAAAATCTTATATCAATTCGTAATTTATATAATCTAGAAAACACATTTGTTGTTATTAAATTTAACTTCATTCTTGTTTGGTTTGCTCTGTAATTTTTGGCCATATATATAGGTTTGAGTTTAGGCTCTGTTCCTCTCTGTTTTCTACGTTGAACTCTGTTTTGGCAATGAACAAGAAGCAAAGGAAGTATTGACCGCATCATCGATAGTAGGAACCGGTTAATCTTGCTGAATACTGATGTCTAGTCACTCTCCTAGCTTCAGATTCCACTGATCAAATTTAGCTCAGAGATCACTAAATAGACAATGGTGATAGATAAATGAACTTAAACAATGATCTAAAGCTTCGTTGCTTCTTTTTCTTCTTAAGCTCTTTGCTGTTTTACTTGTGCCTCTCCTCTGTGTAGATTTAGAGGAACCAACTTCGTGCTCTTGTTATTTATTTTTCAGCTTTGACACTAAAGTTTATATGTTTTCTCTATGTTTGGGTCACAGTGTTATGATATCCATCTACATTAGGCTTCTATGTGTTTAACATGTTCTTGGGAATTTGTTTGTCAAAAATATAACTTAACATATTCGTCGAGGTGTTGATTACCAATCCTCTGCAGATTGTAGACAAGGAAGCAGTTGAGCAAGTGACAACTCTTAGAGACATTCCAGAGATAAAGAGCCACCATGTTTTGTATGTTCTCTTTGGTAACGAAGAAATATTTAGTGAAAAAAACATTTGATATCAAAGAAACCTCTACAAAAGAAGCATAGCATATTTGTGAATGTCATGTTAATCAAACTAAACTCAAATGTTTACAAAACAAACTAAAAGCACTCTCTTCTCGTTTGAATCTTTACTCTTCTTTTTGTCTCTGAAGGTATACACTGTCTTCCATTACTGTTTTAGCAATCTCTAGACTCTATGAATCACTGAAAATCTCTGAAAGCTCCATGAGTAAATCTCCATGACCCTGAATAAGTGCACCGACCTGCAAAAGGTAACAAAGCAAATCAATCCAAAGAACTAAGAAAGTGAAACACACAACACAAAGTATCCCACCAGGAACCCTACCTCCTGATACACATCATTTTTGGACTTGTTTCCCTCACTGTACACTTTCATTATCTGAAGAACTGAGTCAACGACATGACTACCATCGCCCTGAAACCTTGCCTGCACATCAACGAATTTGTTACTTAAACCGCAAGAGACTTAAACCGCAAGTTAACAGATAGAAAACATCCAGTAACTATAAGCATTTAAGCATTCGATACCTTAACCTTCGTGATAAAACTCATTTTAGCTGAAAGGAAGACACAGAAACCAAGAAGCAGATTCAAGTGATCTTTCATGAGTTCCTCCACCCTAGCAATGACACTAGCAGCATCGACTCTACAAAGAGACTTAGTAACATCAGAATCAATTCACATAGACAGAGAAACTCAAACATAACATGGAGAAAATAACTCATACATACCTGCGAGCTTTAAGATCATTCAAGAGCTTAATAATTTCCTCATATTTTGCAGGTTCATCATGAAATATATAAATATATAATATTTTCTTTGACAAAAAAAAATATTTAAAATATTTTCATTAACTTCGTAAAATAATTACAAAATAAATTAATTAAAAATAAATCGTAAATAATTCATATAATATTTACATAAATTATAAAGCATATTTGTCCCATTTTTTTGTTCTGAACAAAATGTCAAAGTTAACTTAAAAGACTATTTTGGGACTTAAAAGAGAAAAAATACTAATGTTTTGGTAAATGACATGGTTTCTACGTTCATTGCTTACGTAATGAAAGAAATACAAATTGACACATAACTTTTAGGATTACTGTTTAGTTTTTAGGATTTCGAGTCCAGTTGTAATACTTTGATTTTTAATCACTGAATCTAATTGACATGATCTTCTTGGTAAAAAGGAAACTTATAATTAAAAAAGCATGTCAAAAGAATCTAACTGAACTCAAACATACGTCTATTTAAAGAAACTTCATAAACATTCTCATCTCCTTATAAAAGTGTTATAGATCTTGATGCTAGAAGATCATTTTCTCATGTTAAAGTATCTGAAAAACTTGTCAATCAAATCTTCATGATAATAGAGAAGATCAACGACCTGCAAGATATATTATAACCAAATCAAACGAAGGAAAAAAAACAAGTGAAAGGACAACGCAAAATATCCCACAAAGAACCTACCTCCTCTTTAACCTCCTTTTCAGACATCTTTCCTTCATTATGCAATATCATTATCTTGAGAAATGACTCAACTACATGAGTATCAAGGCTCCGAAACCTTGTCTGCAAAAGAGGAAATATTAAAATGGTATTTATTTTAGGTATTAGTTAACCATTTTAGCATTCTATACCTTAAGCATGTCCATAAAATTTTCCCAATCATGCTCAATACGTTCTCTTATGGTATATTTAGACTTAGCACCACGATGCTCAGCCTCGGGAGGGTTGGTTGCCTTAGCCTTGAGAATGATGGTTCTCTTATCCTCATGATGGATGGTACTGTTATCCTTGGGAGAGATGGATTTCTTAACCTGTGGAAAGAAGAAACTTAAACCACGAAGCAGCCTCGGGTGCCCTTTAATGATTTCAGTCATCTTTAAAATGCCAGTAGCTTTATCAACACTACAATGAGAATAATCACATCAGAAAACAATTCACAATGTTTGTTTTGTTGTGTACAGGGACGGGAGAAAACAATTCATACCTATGATCACGAATATCAATAATGAGTTTAATAAACTCTTCATATTTTGTAGGTTCATCATGAAAGGCTTCCTTCACATCAGTGATAAATGAATGCGCATCACTAAGAGTTGGCTCCACTTGAACTCTTGTTTCAACCATGGTGTGAAATTGACCTAATCCATTGTTCAAAGATAAAGATTTTTGTTGATCGAAACAGATCAGATAAGTCATTGAAACCCTTCTTGTATCTCGAAGCTATCTCGAGAAACTTAATCCACAACAACAACAACAAGATCAGTTCGTCGATATGGATGATTCATGCAAAGTTCATCTTCTAGAAATACAGATTCATGTAAATTTCATCGAACAAGATCCTTAAGAACATCTAGAATCAGTCTCGATAGAAAGCAAACAACAAGACGTGCTGATCAAGAAACTATAAAAGAATCATATACGAAATCAAGAAATTCGATCGTTAACCTAATCGTCACGTCACATGATTTCACATTTCACATGAACGAAAAAGGAATTGAAACGAAGAAGAAGAAGAAGATAAGTACCTAACGAGCAAGCTTCGTCTTCGCAAGTGAGAGGCTTCAAGATTCCCAGAAACAAACGCACTCTGTTTTGAGTTCTTTTTTTTTTTTCCCAGCAAAACCTCAGAGACTGATTCGAGTTATAAGCTGTCAAAACTTGTTCGATTACATTTTTTTGTAGTTAATGTGGCAATAATTATGCTTATTTTAAAAAAAATTATTTATTTGATATCAAAGAAATAATTAAAAAAAAAAACTCTTTTGTAGTTAAAGACTGACATCGACATGTTAAAAATTAAAACTATAAATATCATAAATCTTTTTTTTTCGTGGATTCAAGAATGTTATAAATCTTTTTTAGTTCTGCATTTGTAACTTTTGATTTTGAAGTCGTGGAAAAACAAATAAGTGAATTTGTTGCACCAAAGAATGATTGAACATATGTGATTAAACAAACTGAAGGAAAACCAAGAGATAACCAAGAAATTGACACATGTTTAAAGAGTAAAATCGAAGGCGGTTATTGGAGCTAAAAACGGACGCGTTTTGGCTTTGTCTCTCCCGAGGATCTCTCACAAATGGTCGAAGATGGAAGCTCTGAGTTTGGCTTCAGTTGGGGATTGTTGCAACGGGTTAAACAGAAAGAGTCGGTGAGTGTGTATCACATAAGTAATGTTGATTTGAGCGATAGAGGGAGAGACGATTGTGTAATAAGAAGAAGTATAGATTTCAAGCTTGCAAGTTTACAATAAATATTGACTCAGAAGCCATCCTATTATTCTAGTAACAAAGATTATTCAGTGACCGATTATACTTATTCAGTTCCATCTAAAGAGTTAAGCTCTTCCCGAGCTTCGATCCAAAAGGAACACACACGCATTCCAAAATACAAATAATATATTACCAAAAAGAACACAACACACATATGACGCATTCATCAAACAGTGGCAGCAAGAACCTTGAGTATCTCACATGTAGGGATAGTAAGCAAATGATCAAACCACTCAACTTTCCCCTCACATGTAGGGATAGTAAGCAAATGATCAAACCACTCAACTTTCCCCCAAATTTCACCACTTTTGCGCTTTTCAAGCGTAATCTCTGCACACCAAATCATCTTCCTAAGGCCGTAAAAATTAAAAGGCCACTCCTCGAGCCACAAAACCGCCATCTTTCCACCATAATCAGCCAATCTAATCCCTTTTTTATCAGAAGGGAACTCAGGTAGTCCTACCAAACCCTTCAACTCTCTCCACTCTCTTGCCTCAGTGTCATACCAAACGATATTTCCGTGATCGCAAGAGTACAGAACATTATGTATCTCGCAGTAAGATTTTGAATAGATATACCTACCAATCTGTTTTTCAACTCTGTCCCATCTACCTTCCTTGGAATTGTAAGCAACCACATCGTCGTCACGCATTACGTGGAACTTTCCGTCAAGACATGCAGTTTTGCAGAAAAGGCCGCCAAATGTCTCGCTGCAAGGGATTGGCTTAGGATCCCAAGTCTGTGTCTTTGTGTCGAACACCTCCATCAAGTTCTTATAGGAATTTAAATCGCCATCCTTACAGCATCCTGCTACATATATCTTTTGATCAAGTACGCTAGCAGAAAATGACGTCATCTTCACTTGCAAGCAAGGAGCATCGTGCCATGTGTGAGAACAGCAATCCAGTATGGAGATGGTATGGGAGAAGTTATGGGTTAAGGGGCTACGTGGGCCAATGTTGTAGATATTAGAACCAACCGCCACGAGACCTGGAAAAACGGGGTCTCGTTTTTGCGGGTCTTGGGGACTTGGGACTGCAGCCAAAACATACCCACTTGACGTTGCCCTAGTAGAGGTATAACCACTGGTTAGCAGTCCATGAGGTTTCCGACAGAGGGTGAACCAGCGACAATCAGGAAAGCCCCCGATGCACACATAGAGACAACTCTCGGTGCGGCCCAAGAGTGAGCGGGCCCTGTAAAGCTCGGGTGAAGCAAGGAGAGATCGAAAGCTCTTGGAGACGAGGGAGAGAGTGGGATAGTACAACCTTGAGACCCGGGCTAGGCAGTTGAATAGCAAATCATAGGGAAGTGACAGAATCGGGCTTGATTGCTGCGGAGTCGTAGTAGCGGTTGTCTTCCTCTTCTTTGCTGGGGACGGCGGCTTCTTCTTCTTTGTTGTAGCAGTTGTCTTCCTCTTCTTTGCCGTCGGTTTCTTCGTCGTAGCATTTGTCATCCTCTTTTTTTGGCCAGCCGTCTGGATTTCTTATACTTGTTCTCCAACTTGCACAGAGAAATGAAAACAAAATTCAGGGAAGAATTTTAGGTTCAAACCAAATCCTATACAATTAAATTCAGGGATTTCTTATACAATATCACAAGATATACAATTAAAGACGTAGCAAGCAAATGCGGATTCAACCCCAATCAATCCTATATATATATATATATCTTTGATTAACAATCCCAAATCAGACCAATTCAAGATGTCACAGTAAGTGGAGAATCTCACAGAGATGCATCGGTAAATACTCACCAGAAGAGAGTCCGAGGATGAATCAAGTTCCTGATTGATTTCACTTCTTCTCCCCCAGTGCGGCCAAAAGGATAAACCTAATCAATCCCTATTTATTTTTTTATCGATTCACTTTTCTAGCCGTCGGATTGAGTGGTAAGGAGAGTCCGGTTTACCCAAATGTTCCAACGATACGATTTATTAAAGGTTGGGCGTTGGGTAATTTATTTCGGTAAGGGAAAATCCCGGCTTTTGGCTTATTCTTTTTTGGATAAATTTAATAATTTATCATTCATTTTATTAAAGCATTTTATCAATTAGCATTATGAAATTAAAATTTTATAATTTCATTTATTTATTACGGAAAACTAACATTGTAATTTCAATTTGATAATACAATAACACCTATAAATTCGTTTAAATTCTCATAGTATCTGAAATTCTAATATTTTAAGATTTGTTGAATTATAAGAGTAAAGAGTTGAAAGGAGAAATTTTTTCATTTTTTTAATAATTCCGGGTTGAATGGAGATTGATATTAAAAATTTGAAATCACAAAGATCATACGGCCTTATTTTTAAGTCATAATATCTTTTTCCATAACATGATTCCTAGATGAAGAAAGAGAATAGATCCCAAGACATTCACCTACCCTCTCCTGCCCCAATATAATAATTTTTGATCTCCAAACACTTTGGTAAGAATGCATTAAAACCTGAAATCAAATCTCGATGTCCTTTAAGCAGTTGCTCCACCTGTTTTATGCAACCATCCCTATCAATTCTACAATAAAATTATAAATCATTAATTATCTTTTTTTAACAATAGTGTTACCCCAATAAAGATTGAACTACCTAACATTTTTCTTCTCATATTTTGTAAAAACTATATTTACACATACCTTTGAGCTTTAAAATTATTCATGACAGCAACAAAGTCGTCATATTTTTTTACTGTCATTATGAAATTTAGCCCTCACAGCCCTAAGATATGCATATGCATCATCTATATTCGCCTTCGGTTTACTTCCTTCTCCAACATGTTTACTTCCTCCTCCCACCATGGTTCAAAGTTGGTCAAATTGAAGCTTTATTTTTAAACAAAGAGAGTGATTTTTTAGTTATTTGTTTTCCATTAAAGCAATTAATTGTTTAGATGTAATTTATATCATCTCAAATACATGACCTCTTTTCTTTAAAAGTAACTTAAACTTTTGGGGAAAAAAAACAGAATTTGCATAAGGGGATCTTAACTCACAATTACTAGAATTGAAAAGGTACATGCGATGAACCATGCACTATGCATATTGCAAAGCATGAGAACATGATAATACAAAACTTTAGATTGACAAAAACAGAACGATCAAATAAGAATTGTGAAAAGAGTTCAAAGTAACAAACCAGAAAAATTACTACGGGTACAAGCTTCACCACAAGAACTTGAATGGGTTTGAGTTGTATGGGTGTCTTTATATATATAAAACTTTGACAAAAGTAGACCTTTTGCAATTAACATATTTGTAGCAATGAGATACAATTGTATCATAATATTAAAAGAAATAAACACATGTTAGTTACAAATAAAATTTCACATTAATTGTAATTTACAGATTTTTATGTGTAAAAACAATTTAAATTGTAGAACTTTACTAGCATATGTGAAAGCTTATTTATCACTTTAACTTTTCCTGACAGTTTAAATCACTTTTGTTACAATGTGGCATATATAATTGCAATTAAAAAAATCTTTTAAGTTATATAGTTGAGATAAAAAAAATAGCCAACAAGTCAAAAGTATAAATGTCATAGATCTTAAAATAACAGAGATATATATCTAGTAAATTTACTTTCTTAGTTTTTGTCAAATTTTACTCTCTTTCTTTTTTGTAAACAAATACTCGTAATTTACTTTATAATCTTATTCAAAATAAAGAAAATACACTATCATTTGGTTTATCTGTTAAAGTTTTAGTTATTAAGATGTAATTTTTATTTTTGTATATAAGGTTTAAGATTGTCAAAAAATTAGTTTTTAGGATTTGTCAAGATTTAGATTTTAATTAACTTCTAGGATTACTGTTTAGTTTTTAGGATTTCGAGTTCAGTTGTCATACTTTGATTTTTAATCACTGAATCTAATTGACACGATCCAAGTCTCATGTCTTCTTGGTAAAAGGAAACATATACTCTTTCTGTTTTACAAAGAGTATCATTCTAGCATTTTTCACACAAATTAAGAAAAGTAAACAAATTTCATTTCTACCCCTTATTAATACACTAAATAATACCCTAGCTAAAATAGTGAGGATAAAAAAGAGAATTAGTCTTTAAAACTGCATTGAAAACACAAAATGACACTCTTTGTAAAACGAGATTAAAACCTTAAAACGACACTCTTTGTGAAACGGAGGGAGTAATAAAAAAAAACATATGTGGCATGTCAAAAGAATCGAACTGAACTCAAACGTCTATTTAAAGAAACTTCATATAGATTCTCATCTCCTTATAAAAGTGTTAGAGATCTTGATGCTAGAA